AGAAAGGTCTTCCTTTGCCGTTGGTTCACCCTCCAATGGCCACCGCGGCCGGCGTGCTGCAGTCGGGGCACCGCGCTGATCCGATGGCAGGAGCCAGGTGCTTATCCTGGTCTCCCATGGGGTGCAGGGCCCAAGCACTTGGACCATCCTCCACTGCACTCCCAGGCCACAGCAGAGAGCTGGCCTGGAAGAGGGGCAACCGGGACAGCATCTGGCGCCCTGACCAGGACTAGAACCCGGTGTGCCAGCGCCGCAAGGCGGAGGATTAGCCTAGTGAGCCGCGGCGCCGGCCAGAGCTGAGAATTTTGTACACCACACCTTCTCCCTCCCCTTTCTTTCCCATACAGCCAGAAGCCCCATCCACTTAGGTCTTCTGTTTAAGCCATTCTTAGACTTCATTAATTATCATTAAAGAATATCAAAGTGAGTAATTTGAAAATTCATGGCTCAGGGCAAACTCCTTAAAAAGAAAAAAGCCTATGATATTTACAATACCAGTAGATATGAGGAAGACACTGTGATACAGCAGGTTGAGCCACTGCTTGGGACACTCCCATCCCATATTGGAGTGCCTGGTACAAGTTCTGGCTACCCCATGTCTGATGCAGCTTCCTGCTGCTGCACTTGGGAGGCAGCAGATGATGACCCAAATACTTGAGTTTCTACCACCCATACGCGTGGGAGACCTGGATGGAGTTCCTGGTCCAGGCCCAACTATTGCGGGCATTTGTGGAGTGAACCAGAGATGGAAGCACTCTCACTCACTGTCACTCTTCCAAGTAAATGAAAATATACACTTTATAGAGATTGGAGAGATACATATATATAAATATATAAACATATATAGATCTATATTATATGAGATTTATCTAGATCTATATTATATGTGAGAGAAAGAGATGGGTTGGCATTGTGGCACAACAGGTTAAGCTGCTACTTGCAGCTCTGGCATCTCATATGGATGATAGTTCAAGTCCCAGTGGCTCCACTTCTGATCCAGCTCTTCAGCTCCCTGCTAATGCACCTGGGAAAGCAGTGGGAAACTGCTCAAGCCCTTGCTTCCTTCCACTGATGTGGGAGACCCAGAAGCTCCAGGCTCTGGGCTTTGGCCTGTCCTAGCCCTGGCCATTGCTGCCATTTAGGAAGTGAACTAGCAGATGGAAGATCTATGTGTCCATCCATCTGTCTGTCTCTAACTCTGCCCTTCAAATAAAACAATCTTTATTAAAAAATGTATACATCAATACATGTAAGCCACCTAAGTAAAAGCTTCCTGACGTCCTCCATTATTTTGTCAATAATTTCTTTCAGAGGGCAAAAATGTGAGACCAAAAAGCGGGACCAGAAGTCTTCATCACTATGAGAAAAACCGTCAGAAACGCTAGGATCTTAAAGTTTTGATAAAATATCTGAAACCCCTAAGACTCCCTCCCTGATTCAACATGTGAAAGTTCACACAAGTTTTTTAAAAAACTATGAATGTGAGGAAAGTGGGGAAATATTTAGCCATAACATATCCTTAACACCTTAACAGCAAAGAGCCAGCGCCAAATAGGCTAATCCTCCGCCTTGCGGCGCCAGCACACTGGGTTCTAGTCCCGGTCAGGGCGCCGGATTCTGTCCCGGTTGCCCCTCTTCCAGGCCAGCTCTCTGCTGTGGCCAGGGAGTGCAGTGGAGGATGGCCCAAGTCCTTGGGCCCTGCACCCCATGGGAGACCAGGATAAGTACCTGGCTCCTGCCTTCGGATCAGCGCGGTGCGCCGGCCGCAGCGGCCATTGGAGGGTGAACCAACAGCAAAGGAAGACCTTTCTCTCTGTCTCTCTCTCTCTCACTGTCCACTCTGCATGTACCAATGCCATCTCACTAGTCCAAGTGATCAATTTCAGTTCACAATTGATCATAATGAAAGGACTAAGAGTCAAAGGAAGCACATAAACAAGTCTAGTACCTGCTAATACTAACCAATAGAATAAATAAAGGGGAGAGTGATCCAACATGGGAAGAGAGATACTCAGCAGACTCATAGAATGGCGGATGTCCTAAACAGCACTCTGGCCTCAGAGTCAGCCCTAAAGGCATTCCGATCTGGCTGAAAAGCCCATGAGAGTATTTCAGGCATGGAAAGCCAAGACACTCTGGCAAAAAAACAAACAAACAAACAAACAAACCTAAATGAAAGATCTCTGTGAGTGAGATTCCAGTGGAAAGAACAGGTCTTCAAAGAAGGAAGTACCTTTCTCTGAAGGGAGGAGAGAACCTCCACTTTGACTATGACCTTGTCTAAACAAGATAAGAGTCGGTGAACTCAAAAGGCTTCCATAGCCTTGGAAACTCATGACTGGTGCATAGGGAGATTACTGATGCCATAAACAGGAGTGTCAATTTGTAAAGTCAACAACAGGAGTCACTGTGCACTTACTCCTCATGTAGGATCTCTGTCCTTAATGTGCTGTACATTGAGACTTAATGCTATAACGAGTACTCAAACAGTATATTTCACTTTGTGTTTCTATGGGGGTGCAAACTGTTGAATTCTTTACTTAATGTATACTAAACTGATCTTCTGTAAAAAAAAAAAAAAAAAAAAAAAAAAAAAAAAAAAAAAAAGAAATTATCAAATTCCCACCTTGACTCTCACTGGGATTAAACATGACAATAGGTCTGATTTCATCATCATTTAAAAAATCATCTATTATTTTTCACTTCATGTTTGTGTGGGAGCAAACTGTTGAAATCCTTACTTAATGTATGCTAAACTGATCTTCTGTATATAAAGAGAATCGAAAATGAATCCTCATGTGAATGGAAGGGGAGAGGGAGTGGGAAAGGGGAGGGATGCGGGTGGGAGAGACGATATGGGGGGGGGGGGAGCCACTGTAATCCATAAGCCATACTTTGGAAATTTATATTCATTAAATAAAAGTAAAAAAAAAAAAAAAAAAAAAAAAAAAAACACAGCAAAGAATCCACACTGAAGAAACTACAAATAAGGACAACATGGAGCAATCTTCACCTGCATCCTACCCTTGACTGAACATAAAAGAACTCACAGGCAGAAGAACCCTCCTGTGAAGGAGCATAGGATAAGAAAACCTACAGCTACAGCTCTTCCATTTCTCTGAAGACACATGTCAGACAGAAAACCTGCAAATGCACTAAGCATGGAAAACTTCCAGCCACAGGAACTACCAGAAACCTTGTTTCTTTAGAGGCAACTGGGAAGAAAAGGCTTCACACTGAGATCCCATCTTAATGGATAACAAAACCCCACACAGAATGGGAAACTCTTCACAAAGACCTGAGGACTAACCCAAAGAGGAGTCACTGAGTGGGAAAAGCTGCCTCTAAATGAATCCCACCAAAAGCAACGTTTCTCAAAGGTATCAACAAATAAGGAGATTGATGGGGATTTGCTGTCCAATGTGAATTAATGCTATCACTAGTACTGAAACAGTACTTTACACTTTATGTTCTGTGTGGGTACAAACTGATGAAATCTTTATACTGAATCGATCTTTTGTATATAAAGATAATTGAAAATGAAATAAATGAAAATGAAAATTGATGTGAATGGAATGCGAGAGGGAGCGGGAGATGGGAGGGGTACGAGTGGGAGGGAAGTTATGGGGGGAAAGCCATTGTAATCCATAAACTGTACTTTGGAAATTTATATTTACTAAATAAAAGTTAAAAAAAAGGACTGAACTAGAAGAAAGGCATCCAAATATCTAAGTGTATTGTCATTATAACTGTTTTGTTTTGTTTTGTTTGAGAAGCAAAGACAGCTCCCACCTGCCTGTTCACTCCTCAAATGCCCGCAATGGCTAGGGCTGAAAGGCGGCCCAGGCTGGAAGCTGGAAATTCAATCCAGCAATTCCACGTGGGTGACTGCAGTCATTACTGGAGTCATCCCCATGGCCTCCCAGGGTCTGCCATTGGCAGGCAGCTGGAATTAGGAGCCATAGGTAGATACTGAACCCAGGCATTCCACATGGGATGTGGGTGTCTTAACTGCTAGGCCAAACACCAACTTTAACACTTTAATGTACTCAGAAATAATTGCTAAACACTTGCTCTGGGGCCAGGCACCATGCTACGGCACTGGGCTCAGTGCCACGTCTGAAATGGACAGGCGTTGGCAAATTACAGGCCTGTATGCAGATTGATTAAAGAATCAGAGCACTTTTTTAAAATCAGAAGATAAACAGATTTTTACAACTTAAAACCAGGCTATTTATCTGCACATAGTCTGCTACTTTTGTTTGGTATGCCTCATCATAAAACCTGTAGGTAGTGTGGTAGAAATCTTAAGCAATTAGTGTTCAAAAAACAAAATCCAAGAAAATTTAATAAGAGAAACAAGGCATAAACATCTCAAGTTAATGCAAAAAACGAAACATACGGAAGTTGCCAGAGGCACATATTTAAATTAAGTGTTACAAGATTAAACAGAAAGATGGACTGTTATTTTAAAAAGTTTTAGTATAAAGTCACACATACCCCACAGACCCTGCCTGGCAGTCCATGGAGGGAGGGGCTGGCTTCTGATCTATCATAGCACAGCACTCTCCCTAGCACAACCACAGGATTGAAACAAAGTATTTTATTGCTCCCAATCTGCTTTTAGCCCATGAATTTCTATGTCAAACTTTAATTTACCAACCTACTGAAGACTTCATGCAATGTGAATATTTTAAGTGTAGACAGCATTTTGTAAACACTGACTTTAAAATGCTGACAGCATACCTTCTGTGCAGTTAAAACCAAGAAAGGAATGGAAAGGCCCTCAGCTGGGGTTAGAGCAAAGCCAGAACACAAGAACACTAGGAAACAAAGTGGATCAGAACTTCCAGAATAATTTCTCTTCGAATGGATTTTGAGGCCAGGAAAAAAATCCCCCAAATTCCCTTTTCCAACAACAATCTTGGCAATGTCAAAATCTTTAGTGTGGGAGAACTTCCTCTTTGAGAAAAAATATTAAGAATTTTAATATCAGAAACTTTAATATTTACATCTCTTTATTCTTCAAACTTAGGGTCAAGTTACAAATAAATAGTCCATACCATGTAGCCATGTAGCTTCTTTCTGATACACACTTCTTCAGGCAGAAAACAGCAATAACCCAGAATCCATTGGAAATAAGCTCACAGGAAACCATGAATTGTAAGCATAGAAAGGAGGCATTACACTCCAAGTGTGGCGCAGTACACACACTGGTGAAATGTGGATAGCCCTCTTACACATCACAGATGTACACAATTCTTGTAGTAAAAGAAGGTACCCACATATTAGAGTGTTTTTTAATTTTAAAACTTGTATCCCAGGGACTAATCGTTTAAAAACTCTAAAATTTTGAGTCTTTTAGCAGCAAATAATTACCTTAAGTTAAATTATTTTTAAACATTGCCCCAAAATTGCAAGTTTTACAGATCATGGATATAACTCTACTACTTAAAAAATAAAGTAGCATTTAGAAAGTAGATACTACTTTCAGTTTTGTTGTGTTCTTAGTTAAAAAGTTAACGAAATTTCAGGTAAAATACATCAGCAAGCGTGAGTAAGAGAAGAGTGGAAGTGGCCACCAGTCTCCATGTATAAAATGCTTAAGGTTCTGTAATAGAAAATGTTTAAGGTGTCTTCATATGGTTCACTTCTGGAAGATAACAGTTCTGTAGCACCTATATTCCATTCCCAAATATGTGTATTACATTTAGCAATTTACTATGAAATTCCTTAAAATTTTCCTACCCAAATATTTTCTGGTTAAACCAGTATTTCTTAACAATTATAATGCTTGGAGTTCTTTTTAATTGACCAAATTATTATTTTTCAAGTCACTAAGGATGATTTGGGTAAGAGAAAAATTTGTTTGAAAAGTCATTCTATCTATTTAATCTCATGCTCTGCTGTGGCATTTCAAATCCAGCATCTGATATCTTGAGACTGAAAATAAATTATAAACATTACCGCATGAGAAAACAAATGGAATTAGATGTAAACTAAGCTAGCCTTACACTAGATGTTTCTGAAGACATAAACTACAGAGTCCTCTGACACTGTTTCAAGTTATAATTACCAGTTATCTTTCCTTTGAAGCTTTGAGTATTTTTCCTAAATACCTCTTTTTAAAAATAATTTGAAATCAAACATTATTTTAAAGACAAAGCATCAAAACTAATTCTCTCACCCACCCTGACTTGACTTTCAGATGACAGCATTCTGACATAGAGAAGTTCCGTTCATTTTCTCTCAGCTGAACTTTTTGGCAGTTTTCCCCAACATAATTAAAACTCATACAATGACAAAAACAAAAGAATTCAAGACATAATACAAATACACAGCAATACAAAAAAAAAAACTGAAAACAAAACAAAACACTGAATTGAAACGTCCAGATACAGCACTTGTGATGTGACCAAAACTACACAGTCCTGGCTCTTCATAAGACTCCTGCTACCTTACACCCATCTGTGCACATACACACATACACATACATAATGCTCATTTTTCTTTCTAAAGTAACTGAGAAACAGTGACTAGTTTGGTATGAAAACTGTGGTTCCTACAACTCTTGAGTTCTGATTTGAACACATCTTAATCGGTGTAATATTACTCCTGAAATAACAACAAGCATTACATATGGAAAGACTATGTATATACAAGCAATGTTTTATGAATCACAAATAACTTCTACATTGACATACAGCCTATCAATCTTATCTCATTATAAAGTTAAATTCTCATGTATCTTAGTGAGAATGCTATTATCAAATGCATTCTAAATTATTTCATTTTCTAGTATGGACAAATTATGGCAGAAAGAGAGGATAACGTGCTCTTTAATAAACTACAACCACTGACCCTCTCACACAGACACCAGTGCAAAATATCAAAAAAAATTGCAACTGTGAAATGAGACATATGATTAATACCTAGACTAAAACTAGAATAAGAGTTTGGAATAGAATAATTTCTCATGAATAATTTGTTCATATAGAGACAACTCAATATACATATGGTCAATGACATTAAAAAATCTATCCTTTAAAAAAAAAAACATTCTACCCTGTCCTTCAGATTGCTCCCATTTAAGTTTGGACATTTTCCTAGTCTCAACAGCTAAAGAGAAGACACTAATCTGACAGTAAGCTACTGGAGACTAACAACTGATGCTACAGTTGCTGTATTAAATCATTTGCCATTACACCATGACTGTCCTGCAACTTCAACCAAACTTTTTTTTTTTCTAATAAAAAATAAATATATAAAGAAGACACTGTCAGGCATATATTCACAAGCTCTCAATTTCTTAAAACATAAGTATGGGTATATTTATTTTTCTCAAATGCATACAAGACAATAATTACACAGCAACAAATCTTTTGTTCAACAATGATTTGATTCATAAGCATTTGAAATTTACATAATTTCACATCAATACCCTTGCATTTTTAAATACAGTTAAGTAAAAAACCCCAAATAACCAATTCTTATATTTCCTATTTATCCCTCTATACATCCAAACTTTAAAAAGTTACAAACTGAACATTATACAGAACATACAAATCATGTTTAAAAACTTGAGGTTTTAAAATCACCGTTTCTCCAATATGATTCAGAAAAATTCTCATACTGACAAGTACAGTCATAGGTGGTAAACTGGAGTAGGGAAAAACAAAGAAGAGACAGACACAAGTTTTCTGTCTTAATATTTTACTAATCCTGTCAGTTAGAAATGGTGATGTCATGAGAATAACAGTTTCGGTTTAATACGAGGAATGGAGTTTGTCTCACGGTTTGAGACATGCATTTCAAGTATTTTCCTATTTGATCTGAGCTCGCTGTAGCAAACTGATGTCAAAAGAGAATAATTACTTTCTCCCATACATTCGCTCAATGTCCGCCTGGTAGTGTGTTTTAAGTTCCTTGCGTTTCAGCTTGAAGGCATCTGTCACCAGACCAGTTTCAGGGGTCCATGGTTCAGGACTCAAACGAATTTTTACTGGAATTTCAAACTTTTCCAAACTTGCTGAGATGTTTAAAAGAGAAAAAAGGAAAAGCAAAGGAATTTTAAAATGTGCGATTAAAATTCTAAGCTAATAGAATAGCTTCCTCATTCTTTGAGTGTTCATCAAAACGCACAACCAACAAATGGCCCATAAATCTCATGTCTAAGAAATCTGTCCCTCAAAAATACAAGTATAAATAAAACATGGACACATGATAATTATTGCAGTGAAAAACTAATTACAGATTCTCATCAACAGAAGGAGTTAAATAAATTGTGATTCAGGCATAAAGTAGGATACAATTTTGTCATAAAATGAATTTCACTTATAGGTTAAAAAAAAAAAAAAAAGGCGACTGGCAGCACAGGCAGGGGAGGCTTGCACCCAGATGTGTGGACACGGATAACACAAGGGGCTGGGGTCCAGAAGGAGGAGGACATTTTCTTCTTCTTCTTCTTCTTCTTTTTTTTTTTTTTTTTGACAGGCAGAGTGGACAGTGAGAGAGAGAGACAGAGAGAAAGGTCTTCCTTTGCCGTTGGTTCACTCTCCAATGGCCGCCGCACTACACTGATCCGACGGCAGGAGCCAGGAGCCAGGTGCTTCTCCAGGTCTCCCAGGGGGTGCAGGGCCCAAGCACTTGGGCCATCCTCCACTGCACTCCCTGGCCACAGCAGAGAGCTGGCCTGGAAGAGGGGCAACCAGGACAGAATCCGGCGCCCCGACCGGGACTAGAACCCAGTGTGCCGGCGCCGCTAGGCGGAGGATTAGCCTAGTGAGCCGCAGCGCCGGCCGAGGACATTTTCACTTGTTCCTTCACACACATTTGTTTTCCTTGAATTGATTACAAAGAACACAATGACTTCAGATGCTAAAAAATAATAAAGCTTAGAGAGAATGTTGTCACTGAATCATGATATTCACTATAAGCTATGAAGACAGAATGCTTGGTCACTATTACATTCCTACTACTGATACAGTAGATTGGTGATAGCTGATAAACGGAAGGAGGGAGGGAGAGGAAAGGACATCTGAGGGAGGTGAAGAAGGAGATGCAGTGTTAAAGTTTTAAAATGCAGTTTAATAAATTACTCACTCAGGGTGGGCATTGTGCTACTGCAGGTTAAACCACAACTTGAAATACACCCATATCCAATATCAGAGTGAGAGTTCAAGTCACAGATACTCTGTTAGCTTCCTGCTAATCCATCCTGGGAGGCAGCACCTGATGGCTCAAGTGCTTGGGCTCCTGCCTTCAGCCTGGCTACACCCTGGGTAAGGCAGGAATTTGGAGTGAATCAGAGGAAGGAAGAGCGATAGACCTCTCACTGTCTCTTTCTGTTACCACATCTTTCAAGGTGATTTAAATAAGTAAATAAATAAAAAACATTTTAAAAGTATCTTTTTAAAATGTTTTTTATTTATTTACTTAAAGAAACTTAATTAAAGAAAATTAAAGTCCTTAACATCGCTGCCTTTTGTTTCATTCTTTCACAAGTATTTGAGAATTTATTATATGTATAGTATTTTAATAAACAGTCTTTAAAACACAAAAATGAATAGGTAATGTTTTCAAGTGGTCTGCAATCCAACAGGGGATTGGATGTTTCTAGCAAACATCAAACCATAATAATACATAAAACAGGTGTGAGGGAGGTGTGATGTCAGTAAAATGACAGAACAGACTTAGCTGTCGTCCCCTCACCCCCGCCCGAGACATGGACTGAACACTAATCCTGTGTATGCCTGTGTGAGGAACCTGAAACCAGCTGAGAGGCCCCTACACGCCAGGCAAACATGAAAACAGCAACAAAGCCTGACACAGAGAACACATGGCATTCACCTGCCAGAACCCATCCTTCTCACAGTGCAAAGCCACAGAGGACACCCCCAACTGCCAACTTGTTCCTGGAGGGGATGTACATCTAACATTCTGACTTTGGGTTCTGTCTCGCCTGAATCTAAGTGCTAACAGGTAGAAAGCGCCAGTGCTGGGGGTTGCCAAGAACAAAGGCAACCAGCAAGTACCAGAAGCTGCAGTATCACACAAAGACACAAGGGGGAGCTCCTGAATAGAAACCAGCAAATCAGAGGGGGATACACCTCAGGAAACACCTTAGGCCTGCTGAAAAATCTCTAGCAGAGCTGAATGGAGAAAATCCTCCCAGGACAAAACAAGACACAAAAACTGAGATTGGTAGCCAATTTTACAAGTGCCAAAGTTCAAGCAAAACATAGTAAAACATACCAAAATGAGAGAGAGAGGCACAAGGCCCATCAAAAAGACCAAAGTAAATTTCCAGAAATCAAACTCAAAGAAAAATTGTGAATTATCAAATGAAGAATGCAAAAAAAATAATAATAATACAATAAGGACACTCAAGAAGTAAGAGAACACAGATGACCAAAAAAAATCAGGAAAATAATTTATGAGACTATAAGTGAAAGATTAATAATAATGACCTAAAACCCACTAAGAAGTAAAACAAAGCACATTCTGGAAATGAGTAAAATAAACAAATTGAAAAATTCATTGGAGGATACCAACAAGAAATCTGATCAGAAAAAAATTAGCAAACTCAACAGAGGGCTTCTGAAATTACAAAGTAGAAGAGCAAAAAAAAAAACAAAAAACATGAAAGGAACCTAAAAAAATCTATGGGACATCATCACATGGAAAAACATACATTCTGGGAATCACAAGAGGAAAAAAGGAGAAAGTGCCAGAGATCTATTTGAAGAAATAATGGCTCCCAATTCTCCACATCTGAGAACAACAGGCACACAAATTCAAGAAGTTCAAAGAACTCCCTAGGATAAATCTAAAGAGAACTACACTCAGAAATATTACAATCAAAGTGTCAAAAACTACAGAGAATCCTGAAAGCAAAAATAAAAAAGTGACTCATCACGTACAAGGGAGCTTTCATTAGAATATCGGACATTTCAGGTGAAAGACTGAAGGCTAAAAAGGAAAAAGATGTTATATTCCAAATGCTAGAAGGAAAAAAAAATTGCCAACCAAGAAACTTATACCTGGCAAAGCTGTCCTTTAAAAGTGAAGGACAAGGGGCTGTTGCTGTGGTGTAGTGGGTAAAGCTGCCACCTGCAGTGCCGGCATCCCATATGGGCGCCCAAGTCCCCGCTGCTCCAGTTCCAATCCAGCTCTCTGCTGTGGCCTGGGAAAGCAGTGGAAGATGGCCCAAGTGCTTCAGCCCTGCACCCACGTGGCAGACCCAGAATAAACTCCTGGCTCCTGGCTTCGGATCGGCTACTTGGGGAGTGAACCAGCAGATGGAAAACTTCTCTCTCTCTCTCTCTCTCTCTCTCTCTCTGCCTCTCCTTTTCTCTCTGTGTAACTCTGACTTTTAAGTAAATAAATAAATCTTTAAAAAAAAAAATGAAGGAAAATGGCGCCAGCATTCTATCTTATTGGGTAAAGCCGCTGCCACCTGTGATGCCAGCATCTCGCATGGACACTGGTTTGTGTCCCAACAGCTCCACTTAAGATCCAGCTCCCTACTAACGCACCTAGAAAAGCAACAGAAGATGGTCCAAGTGCTTGGGTCCCTGTACCCACATGGGAGACCTAGATGAAGCTCCTGGCTCCTAGCTTCTGCCTGGCTCAGCTCTGGCTATTACAGCCACCTGGAGGGTGAACCAGCAGATGGAAGATCTCTCTCTCTTTAGCGCTTTTAAATAAATAAATAAATAGATAAATAAATATCTATCTTAGGAAAATTAATATCTATCTATCTATCTTAGGAAAATTAGTATCTATCTATCTTAGGAAAATGAAGGAAAATTAAAATCTATCTTAGGAAAATGAAAGAAAATTAAAATTTTCCCTATAAGTAAAAGCTGAAATCATTCATAACCATTACATCTACTCTATGAGAAATGATGACAGTCTTTTAAGGACAAAAAATAGTAATACAAAAATCACATGAAAATATAAAATTCTGCAGCAAATACACAGAGAAATACAGAATTCTACAGTAGTGTATGTATTTAATCACTTGTAAATCCAGTACAGAAATCCATTCCATTCGTTTGTGAGGAGACAGTGAGGCAGAAACACAGAGAGAGAGCTCACACCTACTGGTTCAATCCCCAAATGCCTGTGATAGCAGGGGCTGGGCTAAGGCTAAAGTCAGGTGCCAGGAACTTCAACTCTCCCCCTTGAGCCATCACTACTGCCTCCCAGGGTCTGTCTGCACTGGAAGGAAGCAGGAGTCAGTAGCTGGAGCCAGCTACTCCAATGTGGCATATAAATATCTTAGGAACATGTTTGCTAGGCTAAATGCACTCCCCTAGCATAGAATTTCAAAAACAAAGCCATACAAAGTAATTTTAAATCTAAGATGGTGGATACATAATTTAAAAGGAGGTGTCTGGTGTCATCAATAATATAAATGGAGGAGAAAGACGTAAAGGAGTACAATTTTTATATAAAATTATAGTTAAACTATTAGATTTTATAACTAGCTTTTTATGTAACCGCACTGATAACCACAAAGAAAATATCTATGGAACATAGACAGAAATGCAGAGAGGATCAAAACATGTCACTATAAACAAGAAAGCAAATAGGAAAAAATAAAAATAACAACAGCAACGAGGCAGGACAATACCCTTGGAAGAAGCCACATGATTCCATGACACACCAGGGGAGTTAGGACTTTGGGACCAGTAGGAGGGCTAAAGGAAAATCAGAGCTCATTAGGGCTGGGAAAGGAGCAGATGCGGAATAACAACACAGAGAGGCACACCAGGCCACACCAACCCGTCAACTGATCAGAGAGTGAAAATACAGGGGCAAATGCCGTGAAGGGGAGCAGAAGCAGAGTACATAAGCAAACGCTGAGGGGATTTCCCTGGTGCATCTGAAGGTCACTAAGCCAGTCAGGGGAGGGCAAGAAGGTGAACTACTGACAGAGACCAGCCTTATCACAATGGTACACCTGGTCACTTGGGTAGGGCACTACAGCCTGCAGGATGATGAGGAGACATTAGGAAAAAGTGAAGCTGTAAAAAAAATTCGACCAATTGTTTTAAAAAACCAAATTAACAGCAATCCTCCTCAAATTCTCCCAATTAGAGAGGAAATACCAAATTCATCCTATAAAGTCAGCCATATTCTGATATCAAAACCAGAAAAAAGTGTAAGAAAACTAAAGACCTGATGAATATTGATGTAAAAATGCCCTCAAAATACTCTCAAAATCAAACTAAATAGTATATCAACACCAGGTGAGAGTTACACCTGAAAAGCAAAGCAGCTTCAACATATGGAAAAATCAGTGAAACACACCAAATTTAAAAAGGAAGTTGATTTAAAAAATCATATGATCCTGTCAAAGCAGAAAAAGCATGACAAGATTCAGTACCTTTTCAAAATCAAAACACTCAATGCAGTAGAAATAAAAAAATTACTTCAAAAAAAGCAAAGGTATACACGAAAAGCCTACAGTACAGCAAACATCATATGCAACAGCAAAGGAATGAAAGCTTCCTCTCTAATATCAAAAACAAGACAAGGATCTCCCACGTGCCACTGCTATTCAACACAATACTCGAAGTACTAGCCAGAGCAACCTGACAAAAAACAAATAAATGGGCATCCAAACTGTAAAGAAGTACAACTTAACTGTTTGCAGATCACATGATCCTAATATGTATAAAAATACAACAACAAAGATTTCAGCAAAGTTTAAGGATACAAAATCAACAAGCAAAAATCAGTTGTATTTCTATATATTAACAATAACCATTGTGGGGGGGAAAAAAATTGGGGACAAACCTAACATGTACACTGTAAACTAAAAGAGGCTTAAAGAAATAAAAGATACAAAGAAATGGAAAGATATCTTGTACTGCTGGATTGGAAGAGTCATTATCTTTAATATCTTTAAAATTTCCTCACTAGGGGCTGGTGCTGTGGTGCAGCAGGTTATAGGGAGCAAAATTATTAAGGCCTGCAACACCAGCATCCCATATGGGCATCAGTTCGAATCCCAGCTGCTCCACTTCTGATCCAGCTCCTTGTTGGGAAAAGCAGCTGAAGATGGCCCAATGGGAAACCTGGTTGAAACTCCTGGCTCTTGGTTTTGGCTTGGCTCAGCCCCAGTCACTGCGGCTAATTGGGAAGTGAACCAGCAGATGAAAGATCTCTGTCTCCCTCTCTTTCCATAACTCCTTTCAAATAAATAAATAAATCTTAAAAAAAAAATTTCCACACTACTGCCCAAAGCAACTGGCAGAATTGCCACAATCCTTACCAAAATTCTGATGGTATTTTTTGGAAGAAATAGACAAACAAATCTTCTAAAATTCATATGAAATCTCAAGGCCAAAATTACTTCTTTTAATTCTATCTTTCTATAAACCTGCTGAAATCTACTTACACACACAACAGAGTAATATACAGGCTTTAAAAAGAAGGAAATCTTGTCACATGCTACAACATGGATGAACTGTGAGGGTATGACAAAGCAAGCCAGTCACTAAAGGACAAGTACTGTGATCCACTCTTAATGAAATAATTCAAGTCAAATTACAGAAACAGAAAGTAGGAAGGTGACTGTCAAAAGCAAGGAGAAAGGGAATCAGAGCCTAGCAGGCACAGTGCTTCAGTTTTGGAAGACCAAGTCCTAGAACTCTGCAGCCACTAATATAAATAAACTTAACACTACTACACTTGTATACATCAAAATGGCTAGGGTGGTAAATTGAATGCTATCTTTTTTTTTTTAAATTACACTAAAAGAAAGGAAATGTACCAAATTAAAGGTATAAGGTGCCTCAAGAGCAAAAAAAGATACATTAACTTGAACTCATAAACAAAAACACTGAGGGTTTGAGCCTTCAAGATTGTCACCAGAGCGGTCTCCAAAGGCAGCAAAATCATTAAGGCAGGTAACAAAGAACTGACTTACAAATGGAGTGGAGTCTGACACTATATTTCTTATTATTATTTCAAACTGCTCAGCACAGCACTCTATGATGACTCAAAATTATCTTTTCTTAAAAAAAAAACTATTTTATTTATTTATTTATTTGAAAGGCAGAGTTACAGAGAGGCAGAGGCAGAGAAAGAAGTCTTCCATTCACTGGTTCTCTCCCCAAATGGCCGCAATGGCTGGAGCTGGGCCAATCCGAGGCCAGGAGCCAAGAGCTTCTTCTGGGTCTCCCACACAGGTGTAGGGGCCCAAGCACTTGGGCCATCATCCACTGCTTTCCCAGGCCATAGCAGAGAGCTGGATAGGAAGTGGAGCAGCTGGCACTTGAATCAGCGTCCATATGGGATGCAGGCAGCGGCTTTACCAGCTACTCCACAGTGCTGGCCCAAAATTATCCTTTTTTGTGATAGTATCATCTAAACCCATGCTTCAGGAAACTAAGCACAGCATGACGAATTGGAGCTATGAGCACTCTAACAGTCATGAGTACTAACTATGTCAAAGACATGCTTGCGTTATGTTTTTCTTATTTTCTGATAGCCATAAGATGGATTAGTAACAGTAAACTTTGTATCACAGTACTTAAGTTAAAGGCCATCGAAGGAAAAAGAGTTAAAATCACCCAAGGAGTTGTATCTCTGGGGAAAGGGTGGTGTATTTTCAATTGTATACAAGATGACTGTTGTCAAAGCTGGGCAGAAGACTAACTTTGGAACTGTCTGTATATGGAATTAACTATGATTAATGTGTGTAAATGTCATTTATAAGAAGTAGGCCAGTGAAGTCAATTTTATGTGTCAAGAAGCACAGGCTCCTACTTAAATAATAAAGTAGGTGTTGATGTGAAGGTATTTTGTACATACTAGCTAAACTTAGTGGGGCTGATTCAATCAACTGAAAGACCTTAAAGCAGAAGGAGGGCTTCCAAAGACAAATTCTGCACATGGGCAGGAGTTTCGGCTCTTATCTGAGGGTCTAGCCCTTCTAACAGTTTGCCCTGACAATTCTGTATACTACTATACAGACCTCACAGTCACTTAAGCCAATTTCTTGCAGTAACACTCCCTTGCTCTCTCTCTCCTCCCCCCACATACATACACACACACACACACACACACACACAGAGACACATTTGTATCTTAAAATATATAACCTTATACTGATTGTGTATCTCTTGCATAATTCTTCCCAATATAGATATTACTTAATGAAACTGTACTCCCTTTTCACACCACATAGGAAATCTAACTTAAAATTAATTAAAAGGCTACATGTAAGACCTAAAACTAAGCAAATCTTAGAAAGAAGTTTTATGTCTTTGAGCTATGTCTTTGTGACTTGGATTAGGCAGAGGATTGTTAGATTGTCCTTCAAAAGATTTAATATAAAGTTGACAAATGATCCATTAATTCCACTCCTAGGTATCCACCAAATAAACCAAAATCAGCAACTTGGGAATCTAGAGCAAGTGCAAACACATGGAGACTGAACAACATGCCCCTGAATGAACAGTGGGTCACAGGGAAAAAGAAACTTACTGGAAGCAAATGAAGATAACAATACAACATATCAAACCTTATGGAACACAGCAAAAGCAGTGTTAAGAGGAAAGTTTACAGCAATAGGCGCCTACACAAAGAAATGGGAAAGGCACCAAATGAAAGAGCTATCAATGCATCTCATGGATCCAGAAACTCACCTGAAATAGCAGCTTCAGAGAGCACTTTGAGGACTTCATTTTCCATTTCACAACTGTTACACAGCTCCTCCCAAGTCCCTTTAAGTCCTTTCTTTCGAGCTAATTCTGTTAGTTCCTTTTGATTTGGCACAACAAATCCAATGACATAAGAATGATAACTGAAATATATATAAAGGATAACTTAATTAAACGAACAAAGCAGTTAGCTGCAGCTACTAATTACACTGACATTTAGTAACTGTCCACCATTTTTTTAAATGTACATACCATATTTACTATGGCAAACTTACTTCAAGCAATGGTATTCTTGGTTGAGTTTTAGTAAGTTTCAAAGCTTTAAAAGAGTTCACTGCTAAATAAACTTTAATCTGACATCTCATGATAAATTTCAAGTGTTCCTAACTATTATAAATTGTGCCATACATACATCTTTAAGAAAAAACTACAAATGTTAATAATTGTGACACTTTCTTTGGTTATCATGAGAATTTATGTTGAAAGATGAACTCTGAGCATACAAATACAAACACTTTTGTTGAAGATCATAAAACAGTAACCTGAAGAAACAAGATAGATTTGCTATCACATTAAAATCTAGAACTGTGGCATCACTAAGGTAAATACTAAATGGCTAATTAAAGGGTAGAATCATTTATAAATCAATTTAGTTCACCTTTTTAAAATTTTGTTATTTATTTATTTTAGAGGCAGAGATAGAGACAGAGAGCTCTTACATACTGGTTTACTCTCTAAATGCCCTCAACAGAAAGGGCCACAGCCTGGAACTGGGAACACAATCCAGGTCTCCCATGTGGGTAGCAGGAATCTAATCACTTGCGCTATCACCACTACCTCCCAGGGTGTGCACTGCCAAAAAACTGGGGTCAAAAGTCACAGCTGGGAATAAAACCAAGGTATTTGATATGGAACATAGGCTTCTTAACCACCAGGCTAAACCCCTGCCCCAATGTAGTACATCTTTAATTTGGGCCATACCCCGAAGTCTATTTCTAAATTTTTTTTTTGATACTTGACTCAATTCTCCCGTAATAAATGTCAACTGCTATAGATGGATTCCTAGGCTCATCCACAAAACATCTGATTGTTCTCGCTCCCTCTCTATAACTCCTGACTTTCAAAATAAACAAATAAATCTTAAAAAAAGGGGGGGGGGGTTGGCACTGTAGCATATCAGGTAACTCAGCCACCTGTGAAGCTGGTGAACCCAGCATCCCATGTGGGTGCTGGTTCATGTCCTAGTTGTTCCACTTCCAATCCAGCTCCCTACTAATAGCCTGCAAAATGCAACAAAAGATGGCCCAAGTGTTTGGGTCCCTGACACCTACATGGGAGGCCTGGATGAAGACTCTGTCTTTGGCCTGGTTCAGAGGTCATCTGAGAAGTGAACCAGCAGATGGAAAGTCTCTCTCTGAATAATTACCACTTGCAATACTTTTATAGAAAAATGCTATCAGAGTTTCAATCTGAAATTGCAACACATTTCTCTTAAACATAATTTTGGAATTTTAACTTAAAACTCTCTAGCCCCACCTTCTTTGTATCTCATGAGCTAGGAATGCTACATGGTAAGCTTTCACTTGGCATGCTATAAGGTGGGAGTTCCCAGACCTGCCCAGAAGCTAACCCGGCTCTAGCTGCCTTTATTTTTTTTTTCAGCAGAGGTCACGGTGTTTATTCCGCAAGTGGCCGGCAGCACCCTGCCCCCCACCAGCTACCTGGGACCCGCGCAGCCGAGCCCCACACCGCCCCGGGCCTCCTGGGGCCCCACGGCCGGCCGTCCTGGCCCCGAGCAGTCGGTCGCGGCCAAGGTGGGCGGTTCTGGGGCAGCTGCCGGCCGAGCGCGGGGGCCTGTCCAAGGCCCGGAGGCCAGCGCAGCGGCGGGGCGGAGCCCGCAGCTGTGGCCGCGAGGCGGTCAGGGCAAGGCGCGGAGGGCAGATGCCCGCCCACAACGCAGCCACGGGGCAGCCACGGCCAAGGGCCGCTCGCAGACGCAGCCATCAGAGCTCCTCGGAAGGAAAGTTCTGGAAGGCTGAGGGTGGGCGGGGCCGCAGAGGAAGCGCGGAAGCCACAGGTGCTCCCCGCTCCTCCCCCCAGAGCAGTGGGCGGAGGGGGCGGTGCTGGTCTGGACTCAGCTTGCGGGCTCTTCTCTCCGGGAGGGTCTGGGGCTTACGGAGGACAAGGGGAGTAGAGCGATCCAGCACTGAACGGTGGACTGTTTGCTGGTACTTCTTCATTTCCCTTTCCTCTGGGGTCATCCTGTGAAACATCCTTGTACCAAAGACCAGATAGCTGGGAGTACATTAGGCTATCAGGAAGGAGGAGTTTATTTTCTTCCATTCCCTACCACACAGGACACCACAGTGAGATGTAAAGTAGAAAAGACAAACAGGAAGATGAGGAGGGAAAAGCATTGCAAGGAAAGAAATCAGCTAATGAGGGGTTGTTCCCAGAGATAACAGGCAGGAAGGAAAGTTCCTGTAAAAACTCTACAAAGAAGGTATAACATACGCAGGAAATGCCTATAGCACACCAAATATTTGAAGTAAAAGTAGTAGGAATTCTACTTTTCTTACCTGTTTGCATATGCGCAAATGTTATCTATTAGTGGAAGATTCTTCAAAGCTGCCTCAACTTTTCCAAGGGAAACATATTCTCCTGCCTGGAGTTTTACAAGGTCCTTTTTACGATCTGTACAAAAAACAAGGAGGGGGGAGCACTGAGAAGAATGACATTGATCATCCCTTTAATACAAATAAATACTGGCCATTCCCCAAATAACTTATCAAATTACTTAAAGTTTGTTACATTAGATATTAAGGGTTATGCTAAAAGTAAAAAAAATATAATATAAAATTGGGCTCTAATTTTTGTACGATTAAGTACAGCTCAGGCTGAGACTTAAGGGGACAGTGAGATAAAGCCAAGTAAAAATCACTAGCAAAGGCCAGAGAATATGTCAGCTCCAATTACTGTACAGCATAAAGCAGGAGGCAAACAAGTGAAGATGCAGGTAAACAGGGGAACAACGGTCATGTGACAGATACCCTGAACTGAGCTGCTAGGAGCCATTAAAACATTTGCCTAAGAAAGCAATCTGTAAGGTCAGTGTTGAGTAATGACACAGTGGCATGAGGAGGTGTTTTTAAGGGGATCCAAGAATGGAAATAAAGAGTAATTTCTTGCAATAGGATGGTAGACAGTTCAGGCCTGGCCTACAATCCTGGTAAGGGCAAAGAAAGTAGTAAGAGTATGACTTTGAAGCACATCCCATAGGATCAATCAATGGGATGAACAGGCATCAGGACTGACTGCAGAGTCTTCCAGCTCCTCTCAGGTTTCTAGTTAGAATGACTGGGACAGGAATACCATTAACTGGGAAAAAGAAACTAATAGAGGAAGTAGGCACAGGTACTTTTTGCACAGTATGGGTCACAGTACTTGAGCTGTCATGCTTTCCTTTGTTCTCTTGCGCAAGCCAAAGACACAGGGTACATGGGAAGTCTCATCCAATAACCTCTAATGTCAAAGAATTCACAAAAATGAGTATTCCTTACACAAGGAGGAAAGAATGACCAACAGTTATCTCCTAATAATTCAATTATGAATTTTGGGAACTTCTAAATAGCAAGCTTCTAATTATAAGCAAGGAAAGTAAAGTGCAGATTTATCAAAAACTTTTATATTCCAGGGAGGATTCAATAGTCCATGCCAACATTACATAAAAATATACTCTGAAATTATTAAACAGCTTTCCTAAATATGCAATATCTTTTATGCAAAACTATTTCATAAACAGTCATTAACCAAAAAATTACTAGATGGCTCACCAATAATCTTTAAACAACCATCAGGGTCAAATTCTCCAATATCTCCAGTACACAGCCACCTCTGTCCATTTTCATCTTCAAAGAAATCAGCCTTTGTTTTTGCTTCATTTTTATAGTATCCCATTGTCACATTTTGGCCACCAATAAGAATTTCACCCCTTGGATGTGGTTTATCAGTATTAAAGTATCCACCTAACAAACATAAAATAATTTAAGAATTCAGTATTTTATCCCTATATGTAATGTGAAAATTTGAAACTACTGGTTTCAATGAATAGATAATATTCATCAATATGAAACTAGGCACAAAATTTCAGTTGCTTAACCACAGGCAAGTATGCTTTTAAGCCACTATTCAAAAAAGAAAAGAATACTATACTCTAAAATCCAGTATCACCCACCTACCATATAAAATAATTAGAAATACTATACAGGTAAGCAGTTCTATGATTCTGTAGAGTCTTAAATATCACACTAGCATAAAAATAAAAGTACTAAGTCATACATTTAATAAGAGAACAAGTCTATAAAATCCAACAATATATATTTAGGAGATATTCTTATAATTTCAGAAGGACAGTGAGTTTAAATTTATTGAACATTTCCATAAATTCTGCTAAAGATAGCTGAAAAATGACTTCTGTGCCTTAGGATCATTCTTTGCAGAGAAGGTGCATCCCAATAAATCAAAGAAAACTTTCACTAAATTTTAGCAGGATCAACTAATGTTTTTTAAATGGTATATGCAATAAACATTTATAGAATTAAAGTGGAATCCTTCTGATAATTCTACACTGAAGCTCCTACAGAAAAGAAAGAAGCATAAAAAAATCCCATTTGATGGAATAAATTTTATGATTTGACCTCTACAAAATAAAAACATTATCCATTTAGCACCTTACATAAGTTTATGCCACAATTCTTAGTTACATTTAATAAAATAAAAACAAATTCTTCAGAACCATCTTTGAAACATGGTAACTAAATGTATTCCCAAAGCTCTAGATAGAATTATAACTATTTTACAAAGGACAAAAATAAGCTCTGGAAGTTATTATTCTAAAAATAAGGAAGAAAATGAAGCATAATTCTAATTTTCAACCTTAATGTTATAAAAATTAATGCTCTATGGTTAAAGTAGGATATTACCTTCCTCCCAGTTCTTTAATTTGATTTCACAGCAAACTAATGGTGCTCCTACTCTTCCAGTATTATAGTCCCACACTGAGAGACATATGGGAAAAAAAAAAAGCATTTGAGAACAGTAGTTAACAAACAAACAACTTCATTTTTCTAAATTACCAACATAATGATTTATCCCAAAGCTAAATATCTTCAAAATCATAAACTGCAAACTGGTGAACCACAGGATGCAGTCTGCACAGGCATGCTGTTATACTGAGTTTTCCTAAAACCTGAATTAGCTATTACCATTTTTAAAAATCATGGATTTTGGGGCTGGCACTGTGGCACAGCGGGTTAACACCCTGGCCTGAAGTGTCAGCATCCCATATGGGCGCCGGTTTGAGACCCAGCTGCTCCATTTCCCATCCAGCTGTCTGCTATGGCCTGGGAAAGCAGTAGAAGATGGCTCAAGTGCTTGGGCCCCTGCACCCATGTGGGAGACCAGGAAGAAGCTCCTGGCTCCTGGCTTCAGCACAGCTCCAGCTGTTGCAGTCAACTGGGGAGTGAACCATCGGATGGAAGACCTCTCTCTCCCTTTGCCTCTCCTCTCTCTGTAACTCTTTCAAAGAAAATAAATAAATCTTTTTTAAAAAATCATGGAATTTTACAGATAAGTGTGGAATCTCCAGTGAGGACAGACCCACATTAAAGATATAGCAACAATCAACAGCCTCTGTTAGACAGGATGCCTGCTCAGTCCCCCTAGAATTTTTTCCCATCACATTTCCTCAAGTCAGGACCCACTGTGTCGCTCCCCCTCTTTGTGGAGGAACGACACAGGACCCTGCGCTGTTCTTTCGTCTGCTCGGCCCTCCCCGGGTTTGCTGCTGGTTCTTCCCGGGTTGGCTACTGACCCTTCCACCTCCGTGGAAGGGCGGTTCCCCCTGGCCACTTTCCCCACTTCCGCAGGGGAGCAGCACACCGCCGGCCGGCTCTCTCGGGGGCTGCACAGGTGTTCCCCTTAGATGTTCCCCTTAGATGTTCCTGGTGCATGTTCTCTCTCTCCTCCTTTATAGTCCTCCTCCGCCAATCCCAACTCGGCTGCCCACACGCCGAGTACGCTGCTCTCCTCCAATCAGGAGCAGGTCCTACAGTTTATTGGCTGAACTGGAGGCAGCTGTGTAGAAGCTGTTTTCTTCTCTCCCAACGCCATATTGTGGGAGAGCAGATGCATAGAATTAAGTCTTAATTCCAGTAACTCAGTCCAGTCTGGGTTGCTCCCCACACCACTGCATTCATTAAGCGGCTGCTCATTCAGTGAGTCTGTACCCCTAGCTTAAAGGCTGATGGAGCAAGCCATTTACACTTCTCTGTTTTCTTATCAGGCCCCACAGCATTGCAGCACAAATAACTCTGGTCTTCCATGTGTCACTCTTACAGTCTCCCTCACCTTACCTTATGATAGCAAGCCCTATCTGAAATTCCTACAGTATCTCAGAAGCAGGCCACAGAGTAAGGCTGCTGGAATCTTCCGCTATCATGAATTACAACTATATTATGTTTGCTCTTTAAAGAGTATTCAAATATCAGAAATGAAAGGCTGATATTTAACACTTCAAAGACTTTGACTTATAATACAAACTGTTATTGATAACCCCATATTCAATCTAAATCTTATAAACAGAAGAAATTAAATATCTGCAAAAAAAAGCTCCAGATTTGCATGTTTTTAAGACTGCTTATTTCCTGCAAAATAAATCTAAAATTAGCTTCCAAATTATGTAAAATAAAAGAACACAACTGAAAGGCAAGAAAACACAGAATGTAAGAAAAACCTTGCATATGAATGGTAAACAGAAGCACTCATATGGAAAATGAGCAGTTAAAAAACTTAGTATCTATCAATATCTATGACATATAAAGTAGGAGCACAGTTCTCTAGCACTGGGAAGCAAAATGACTCTCTCCTATAAGGGACACATGAGGCACTATCTATGGGACTCATCTGGGAAACAACCACCATTTAGGCAGTGGATCTCCTCCTCAACCCCTCATCATGATGAAGTCTGGTAATTATACTCACTAGACTCAAATCTGGTTCCTCTCCACACTTAGAGAGATCTCCATAGACATTTCTGAACTTGAGCGCTCAACTAGACAAAAACACCCAAATTTTTCTACAAGAAATCTAATAACTGATATTAGAAGATAAATATATACAACACAGTCAATGCTGGTCACTAAAGCTTCTTTCCAGAATGCTAAATACCTGAATAGTTTAATATGAAAAGCCTCTCCAGATAAATTATTGACTACAGACACATCCAATATATTCTAAAAACTGGTATCAATAATACCACCTCAATTTTACCCACTCATCTACTAGACAAAAACCTCTACTACTCATCTCCAATATATTTGCAGAAAATAATCCATACCAAAAAAATACCTGGAGTTGTACTTAAGTCTCAGATGGACACTTCATTTCAGGAACAACACTAACCTTCTGTAATTGTTCCAGCACCAGTAGATTCCGTAAGTCCATATCCCTGGCCAACAGGACAGCAAAAACAGATATTCATGAACCGCTGTGTAGCTGCAGAAAGTGGAGCACCACCACACAAAAGAAGTCGAATATTTCCTCCTAGCAAACTTCGAACTTTCCGGAAAACAAAGCTAAAAAAAGGAATTAATCAGAGTCACAGGATTTTAAAGCTGAAAGATTTCCAAATCATTTTCTAATCTCCCAATTATGATATGAGATTTTTTTAATTAAGTGACTTATCTAAAGTCACACAGCCAATTTGGGAGATTCTCTTGACCTGTTATTTAAATCTTAGCTTCTAATAGTTTAACAAGGTAAAGAATACATGAATTCCCCATAAGAAATTTTCAAGTAATATCTAAATTCACAATCATAAGGAGGCCAGCACTATGGTAAAGCCACTGCATGTAGTACTGGCACCCAATATGGGCACCGGTTTGAGTCCTGGCTCCTCTGCTTCTGATCCAGCTCCCTCCTCATGTGCCTGGGATAGAAATGGAAGATGGCCCAAGTGCTTGGGCCCCTGCAACCCATGTAGGAGACCTAAAGTTAGCTCCTGGTTCCTCATCAGCCCAGCTCCAGCCATGGCAGCCATCTGGGGAGTGAACCAGTGGATGGAAGATCTCTTTCTCTGTCTCTCCTTCTAATTCTGCCTTTCAAATAAATAAATCTTCAAAAAGAATTATTATATAATTTAATTTTGTGTAATAATGGAAAATCCCTTAAATCATAGCAACTAGTTTATATAATATATATTATTGTATTATATCTACATGAAATTAAAAGCAAATTAGGGCCGGCGCCGCGGCTCACTAGGCTAATCCTCTGCCTAGCGGCGCCGGCACACTGGGTTCTAGTCCCGGTCGGGGCGCCGGATTCTGTCCCGGTTGCCCCTCTTCCAGGCCAGCTCTCTGCTGTGGCCAGGGAGTGCAGTGGAGGATGGCCCAGGTGCTTGGGCCCTGCACCCCATGGGAGACCAGGAAAAGCACCTGGCTCCTGGCTCCTGCCATCGGATCAGCGCAGTGCGCCGGCCGCAGCGCGCCGGCCGCGGCGGCCATTGGAGGGTGAACCAACGGCAACGGAAGACCTTTCTCTCTGTCTCTCTCTCTCACTGTCCACTCTGCCTGTCAAAAAATAAAAAAAATAAAAAAAAAAAAAGCAAATTAGGTTTTTGCTTTACTTCATTAGAAATGTGCACATATTTATACACAGCAACACAGCTCCTTTTTGTTGTTGAGAGAGAGAGAGAGAGATACGGTGTGTTCCCATCTGCTGGTTCACTCCCCAATGCCCGCAAGGTCCAGGACTGGGCCGAGTTGTTGGGAGCAACTCGGACTAGACTGTTACTGGAATTAAGACTTATTCTATGCATCTGCTCTCCCACAATATGGCGCTGAGAAGGGAGTAACAACTTCTACGCAGCTGCCTCTTGCCAACTTGAGTGATGACCTGCAGGAGCTGATCCTGCTCCTGATTGGAGGAGAGCAGCGTACTCGGCGTGTGGGTAGCAGAGTTGGGATTGGTGGAAGAGGACTATAAAGGAGGAGAGAGACAACATGCACCAGGAACATCTATCTGAAGGAACACCTGTGCAGCCCCCGAGAGAGCCGGCCGGCGGTGTGCCGCTCCCCCGCGGAAATGGGGAAAGTGGCAGGGGGAACCGCCCTTCCACGGAGGTGGAAGGGTCAGTAGCCAACCCGGGAAGAACCAGCAGCAAACCCGGGGAGGGCCGAGCAGACAAAAGAACAGCGCAGGGTCCTGTGTCGTTCCTCCACGAAGAGGGGGAGCGACACCGTGTCAAAGCCAGGAACCAAGAATTCAACTTTTCCCACATGGGTGACAGATATCAACTACTTAAGCCATCACCACTGCCTCCCAGAGTATACATCAGTAGGAAGCTGACTTGGGAGTTGGGAGCTGAGTCCAGGCATTGCACCCAAGCATTCTGATACAGGATTAAGTGTCTTAATTATTAGGTTAAATAACCACCTCCAGGGCTGGTTCTGTGGCATAATGGGCTACACCTGAGGTGCCAGTATCCCATATGGGCACCAGTTTGAGTCCTAGCCACTCCTCTTCCAATCCAGCTCTCTGCTATGGCCTGGGAAAGCAGTAGCAGATGACTCAAGTGCTTGGGCCTCTGCATCCACATGAGAGACCCTGGCTCCTGGATTCGGATCAGCAAAAGCTCTGGCCGTTACCGCCATTTGGGGATTGAAATGGAAGATTTGTCTCTTTGTCTCTCCCTCTCCCTGTCTATAACTCTATCTCTCAAATAAATAAATATTAAAAATAAATACCCACCTCCTAGCTATTTTTAATATTTCACTAATTGAAGTTTTATTGTTTAAAAGAAACATTATTATTGTTTAAAAGAAATCATCTATGAGGAATTAAAAAAAGGAAAATAATTCATCATCTAATTGATAAGTTTCTAATAATATTTTAATAAATTAATTTTAATAAATTAAGATTATTCACTACTTCAATCCAAAAGGGGAAGAAGATTTTTAAAAAAATTTTTAAATAACTTTGAAAAATCAAATTAACAAACTTTCCAAAGCAATGTATATATATCTTGCTAAAGAGATAATAAGGCAGGGAAAAAAGCTTATAGAGTTCTAAATAAAAAGAAGTACCTGAAAACTAATTTTTTCATAAAAATTTGAATTTTAATCATAAAATCATAAATCTATTTAACACTATCAAAATACATATCTGGGATAAAATTGGTCATTTAAAACTTTAAATACAAAACATTTAATCATATTTAGTCTTCATTTTATATTCATACTGAAATTTTATATTGATGCCAATATAAATTTCAAATCAAAGAGAAATTTTCTCAAAGTACTAAGTCCCTTAAGTGTCCACAGAATTACATTAAATAAAAAATTAAAATTAAATTAAATACAGCAAAATTCTAAACGAAAAATATTTTCCAAAGATATTGCAGGTTTTTTCAAGACTTATTTTTATTGATTTGAAAAGCAGAGTTGGAGAAAGAGAGAGAGAGAGAGGGACACATACAGAGAGATCTTCCATTCGCTGGTTCATTATCCAAATGGCCTCAACTACAGGGCTGGACCAGGCTGAAGCCTGCAGTCAGGAGCCTGGAGCTTCTTCAGGTCTCCTGTATGGGTCCTGGGACCTAAATACTTGGGTCGTTCTCCATTGCTTTCCCAGGCACATTAGCAGGGAGCTGAATGGGAAGTGGTGCAGCTGGAACTCAAATTGATGCCCCTATGAGATATTAACGTTGCAGGCAGTGGTTTAACCTACTATATCACAACACCAGCTCCTGCAGGTTATTTTTAAATACCTCATATTCTTTTTTTTATTATATCTTTTATGTTTTATTGATTTTATTTATCTGTAGACAGAGTTATAGAGAGAAGTAGAAACAGAGAGAGAGAGGTCTTCCATCCGCTGGTTCACTCCCCAGATGGCTGCTACAACTGGAGCTGCGCCAGTAATAAGCCAGCAACCATACAGGATGCCAACACTGCAGGAAGTGGTTTAACCTGCTTCGTCACAATGCTGCCCTCCCCCAATATTACTTATCTCTATCTCAATTAACTGGTTAATTAACATGAATTAAATGATTAAATTATCAAAAGGAAAAGGGAGGGTCCTTATTTACCTGTCACACAGTGGGGTACTACGTCCTTTTGAAATTTGTTCCATTTTGTAATTATAGGCCAGAATAAATAGATTGCGTTGAAAACTACTCATTTCATTCACTTTATTCATGACATTTTTGTAGATCCGATCCATAATTTCCTGCAAATATAAAAATGAACATACAGCACATAAATACATATGTATATAAATATATTTGTAGGTATAAACATATTTTATGTATAATTGTTTATATTTTATAAATGTATATTTATAACATAATACATATATAAATATACAAAAATGAATCCATAACGCAGTTAATGATTAGCAGCTGCCTTAAATATTCAAATCTGAAAACCTGATTTGTATTTCTATTTAAGGCTTTATAAATTTTCATTAAGGCATTGTAAAAGTATATTCTATCAGAACAAAACTTATGAAATACAGCCACAATTAGTTTAAAAATGAGACTTCTGAAGAAATAATTTTTAACAGAAATACACCTAGATACTCTTGATAATAACACAAAAAGGGGGAAACATAAGACTTAGGGCAGGAATATATCATTATTGATTCTTTATATTTCTTTGTTTATCTCACTTACTCTGAACCAAACACTAAACTCACAAAATAATTAACATCTATCTGATATTTATTTTTATAATCTAACTTTATTTTTTTAAAGATTTACTTTATTTATTTGAAAGACAGAGTTACAGAGAGAGGGAGACAGACAGGGAGATCTTCTATCCACTGGTATTCCCCCCAAATGGCCGCAACAGCCAGAGCCGAGCCAATCCAAAGCCAGGAGTCAGAAGCTTCTTCCTCTGAGTCTCCCACATGGGTGCAGGGGCCCAGCACTTGGGCCATCCTTTGCTGCTTTCCTAGGAGCTTTAGCAGAGAGCTGGATCAGAAGTGGAACAGCTGGGACTTGAACCAGCACCCATATGGAATGCCAGCACTGCAGGCCAGGGCTTTTACCTGCTGCGCCATAGCACCAACCCCTCTAACTTCATATTATATAGATGTAGCATACTGTTTGCTCACAAAAGGGCCTAGGTTTCCTTTGTTTTTTGATTTGTTTGTCTTTTAATATCGTTGCCATGAAAACTTTCCTTGTCTGCATTGTGCTTGCCAAGTCTCATTACTAAAAAGTATACGTTAATGATTTAAAATAATTTTTTCTCCACAGTTTTAAGTTATAATTAGTTTTTGAACAAATTAAGAATTTAAAGCAGGGTACTACTAGGAAACTATAATCACACTTAAACTCCAAACTACTGACCATTTACATTTGACTTTGAAATAACTACGTAAATACACTTGATATAAGCGCAAGTAATTCCCAACACTTTTAAGCAAAATCAGAAAGCCATAATAGAAGCCAGAAAACTGCTGTGGGTCCTTTTTCTATAACTTTCCATTTAAGTATTTGATGATAATATATGGAAGCTGAAGCCAGGCTGAGTGCTCAGTAAACACGAAGAAAAATTAAAGCTAAAAATGTAAGAATAAATCCTATAAAGCATAATGCTCTAAAACAATATGGAATAAATTCTGCATCAATTACCATGTCAGTGCTACCTTTTTCACAAGCATTACTGCTCTGCAGCAGATCATACATCTTCAGTACTAAATATTCAATACTGCTCAAATCTTACCGGAACGGCTGCCATCAGGGTTGGTTTCAACATGGATGTATCCCCTTTGCTTCCTTTTTTTATTTTTGAAGACTATAAGAAAAGAAAAAAATGATCCATATAAAGTGGTCCTCACTTTGAATACGCAAAGAAACCTCAAATCAAAAAGCATATTATAAATTCATCATTTTAATGTACTTATAAACTACAAAACACTTTAGAAGCAAAGAGTTTATTTCAAAATGACTTACTGTCATCCTTACAATATACTGTCATACTGAAAAGTCCATTATTTCAAGTCACAGACATTTAATTTACCTGGTCTGCTAGAGTCTGTGGTGAAGAGTAGCCAATGCGGCATCCGTGAGAGAGACAAACGAGCTCAGCACTTAACTCCAGGACATGGGCCAGAGGCAAATATCCAATGTAAACATCTTCCTCTCTAAGACAAAGGAGACAGGAGAAAGGTCAGCTGTGCTCTATGCTCAAAGTGACCACATTAGGGGAGGAACAGATAGGTACTAGCGGGGATGTTAGGGTAAAAAACTACTGCTCAAGCTAAACCGAAACTGAGGCAGCAGACAAGAAGAGATGCTGTTTCCAATCCACAAGTGTCTGCCAGATATTTTACAAAACAGATTCTGCTCTGGGAGTTGGGACTAAATTGCAAATAAAAAATTATAGGCTAATATACCACAAATATTACATATATATATATACATACATATATATGTGTGTGTGTGTGTGTGTGTATTTCAACAACTGCCCCCATCCCCAAAATACCAAGTACAACTCAGACAAACCTATAAGGAAATTGTTATTCCTAATTTGTTTTCTGTAATGTACAAATATATAAAAGAAATTTCATGCTCTATCCCCAAGCTCAATCCCACAGTAACTATGTGTGTACATATGTGTGTGGCTTCAGTACAAAAAGGCATTAAAAATAGCCACTGCTTCAGATCAGTCACGGGAATACTGATTCCATCTCTGGGAATGTTTCCTTTACCACCCCTCAGATTCCATCTGCTTTCCTCCATTATCTCTTTTCTACTCCATTATACCCATCCTGCTATCACTGGAGTTTGTCTTAAAAATAAAAATCAGGGGCAGCCATTTGGTCTAGTGGTTAACATGCTGGTTGGAATGCCTACATCCCGTACTGCAGTGCCCAGTTCCATTCTCAATTCCAGGTTCCTGCTAATGTGAACCCTTAGTGCCTAGTAGGCAGCAGGTAATGGCTCAAGTAGTCGGGTGCTTGGGAGACCCAGATTAAGTTCTAAGCTCAAGCCACTGCAGGCATTTCAGGAGAGAACCAGACAATGAGGACTCACTCTGTCCATTTCTTTCTTTCCCTCTGCCTCTCAATGAATAACAAATTAAAAATTAAATAAAATAATCAGAGACTGTGAACACAGCTCATATTTACTGAATAAATATTTACAAGTTATCTGTTTACCTAAACAGTATTTCGATATAAAAATGACTAAAGAAGCAACAGTATCAACTAGTTTAAAAAATTAAGGGATTTATATAAGTCATTTAAAATTTAAAATTGTTAAAAAGTTAAACCTTATATTTCATAATTAATTTTAGTGTCCAATTTTTAGAAAATATTCAGTATATTGGGGCCAGCACTGTAGCATAGAGGGTAAAGTCACCGCCTGCAGTGCGAGAATGCCATGTGGGTGCTGGTTCAAGTCCCAGCTGCTCTACTTCCGATCCAGTTCTCTGGTATGGCCTGGGAAAGCAGTAGAAGGCAGCCTAAGCCCTTGGGCCCCTGCACCCACGTGGGAGATATGGAAGAAGCTCCTGACTCCTGACTTCGGATTAGCCCAGCTCCAGCCATTGTGGCCATGTAAGTGAGCCAGCAGATGGAACACTTCTCTCTCTGCCTCTGCCTCTGCCTCTATGTTACCCTGCTTATCAAATAAATCTTTAAATTAAAAAAAAAAATCCAGTGTAAATAGCCTTTGAAGGAGCAATTTAACCATACACTAGTAAAGACATATCTGTTAATAACAACATACATATGAAAACATTCCCCTTTTTTTTTTTACTATGACATACCCCAGTCTTGGAATCCTTTTTGCCATCCCAGTTATACCAGCAATGATGTTACTATGTGAAATCATGACTCCCTTTGGGATTCCTGTGGATCCACTTGTGTACATGATTACTGCAATGTCTGAGGGCAATGGTTTGCTATGAGGTTTGTTCTCTGTATTGAAGGAAAAATAACACACTTCTGAGAAATTTAATCATATCACCGATTTTTTCATAATTATTCTAACTCAATTCAACTAAAATATACATGTTTTACACATTAAGAACATAAAATCTACTGGGACAAAAAAATCTATACTGGAATAACAGCTATGAAGAAACACAAAGCAAGACAAGGCAACGAGATGAAGCAGATGCTACTTAGATACAAGTATCAGGGAACGCCTCTCTGCAGCTATTTTAAGTGAAAATCTAAATAGGGTGAGGAAGAGAGCCATGAAAACCCTGGGACTGAGAGAACATTCAAAGGATACTAAGCAGGTGCAAAGGTCCTGAGGTACGAATGTGCTTGGCATACATAAAGACGATCAAGGAATGCAGTGGGAATGCAGTGGACACAAAAGACAGCCAGAGAACTGTGGTGAGGTGGCAGACCAGACCATACACGTGGGGTCTTATAGGCCCCGCTGAAGACTTTGGACTTTACTCCAGAGAGAAACAATGTTGTTCTCAACAGAGGCATAATCATCACCTGTGACAAGGATTACTTGGCTGCTGTATGCTTAACGAACTATAAAGACAAGAAAGGAATTAAGGAAACAAAAGGCTATTTTACCAATTCAACTTAGAAATAAGTGTGGCTTGCAGTCCTGAACTGAAAAACACTGTCAGGGTCAGCGCTGTGGCATAGCGGGTAAAGCAGCCGCCTGCAGTGCCAGCACCCCATATGGGGGCCGGTTTGAGTTCCAGCAGCTCCACTTCTGATCCAGCTCTCTGCTATGGCCTGGGAAAGCAGAAGACGGCCCAAGTCCTTGGACCCCTGTACTTATGTGGGAGACCTGGAGGAAGCTCCTGGCTCCTGGCTTTGGACCGGCACAGCTCCAGCCATTGCGGCCATCTGGGGAGTTAACCAGCAGATGGAAGACCTCTCTCTCTCTGCCTCTGCCTCTGCCTCTCTGTAACTCTGCCTTTCAAATAAATAATCTTAAAAAAAAAAAAAAAAACAACAACAACAACAACACTGTCAACCATTTGTAATGACAACCCTAAGGAATAGAGATGACAAAGCAAAAAGAGAGAAATGAGTAATGGATGAAAATGCTGACATACCTGAATAAAACAACCCTTGATGTGGATTTCTAAATAAATGGGGAAAGTCTTTATACATGTTCCCAAAGAAAATCTCCCTTCTCTATTACTCACCCAGATGTGTCTCTTGAAAAGTAATTCAGTCAAGTCTGCCTCTGCATCTGTCATTCATTCCTTTGCAACCCATTAACACCATTCTCTACCTCTATCACATCTTGGGCACTGCCCTCTTTAAGACAACATTTGCCAAGTCTGGTAGTGCTTTTGCAACCCCTGTGTCACCTGACCTCTCTGTACACCTAGTCCTATTGATGACTTGTCCAAATCTCCTTCCCTTGGCTTCACCAGCCACACACTCCTAATGTCATTTTCTTCCTTTCTCTCTGAGTAGTCCTCAGGGGCCTTCAGTGACACCTTTCCCTGTGGGTGACCTCACCTTTTCCCAAAGCTCTAATGAATACCCAACTATTACTAGCTTCTAAATCTCTTAATTCCAAACTCAAGTAGACCATGTATATACCCGTGAATGTCCTATCAGCACCTAAAACACAAGCCCAAAATTCATGTCAGCACAACTCTATTCCTGAGCTAAGTGAATGCTCACACTGAATCACTAAGTTTCCTACTAAAGAGGAAGTAAAGTACACCCTAACTTTTTTTTACATTTATTTATGAATAAAAACTTCTAGGCACCATGCCAGGTGTACTAACTGAAGATACAACCATGTCACTTCCAGAGAGGGAAGAGTGGGAGCAGAGTGTAAAAGGAGGGCTCCAGGTCGAGTCCTCCATCTGTTAACACAAGCAAGCAATTCACATGGACAAGCTTAATGGCATACTTACAAAATCAACTTTAAACTATCCCAAAATGATCAGAAAAGGGAGATGGAAAGATTAAATAAAAGAAAAACTTATATTATCAAATATTTTCTTTTAAATTACTCTTATTACTTTTAGAACATTAAGAATGTATTTTTCTTTAAACTTTTCTCTATGGGCTAGATGAAAGGATACCTAGAGAGAAACACTTCTCCCACTCATGGTCTAGATCTGATCTAACCACAGAGTCAAATCTCTGGAGTAATCCTGGAGAAGTGCCCACAGAAAGCACTCATCAAGAATGAGTAAAGGGAACATACCCAGGCTCCCCTTTGCTCCCAGGGCTTGCACTGCAGCCATGGTGTGCACGATGACACCTTTGGGGAATTCAGACCAGGTTGGTGGCTTCCCATCAACAGTGATGATATGCCTCAGGCGTGGGACCAAGGAAACTATATCCTGGAAAAATGCCAACATTTACCAAGTTCTTTGTAATTCTTGAAACAGTTTAGCAAATAGTTCAAGATACAAGAAAAGAGATTTACCATATTAAACAACTATTGAAGAAATTTCTTATCTCAAAAGAAAGGGGGGGGGGTTGCAATGGCATAAATAGCACTTTAAGATTGAGAAATATTGCACTAAATTGAACTTACTCTTTTACAGCATGTACCCCATGTTCGTTAGTAAAATCTTAATCAATGAAGCCACTGCCTTGCCAAGTGGGCACATACACACAGGTGACATGAGCCCCAGGGAAATCAGAGTCAATCACTCAGTTTTTTAAGAAGTGAAATAAAAACACATGAGATAAAGTGGGGAGTGAGGATTTCAATTGTAAAGTTATAAAGCTAAATAAACCAATGAATGAATGGTCCAGATATTTCTATTTTTATAGGAAACTGTCTAGAAACTAAAGCCCATTTTCTATAATTTTCCAAGTCTCCAATTTTAACTTTTACAATATTCTGAAGTCATTATTATACAATAATTCAGGAGCAACATGAATTACCAGTTTAAAATATAACCCTTAGAAATTACAAATTTATTAAAAAGACTAGAAAATATATGAGTACAATAAAAGTTGTGACCCCTTTTATTTAAACATAAGAACATTAACAGTTCATAACCCTGGACTATCTGAATTTGTGTGTGTGTGTGTATATATATATATATATATATATAAAACCCACTTTTTATTTCCTCAAGAAAAATAACAGGGTATGATATTCATAAAAGCTTACAAAGACAGTAAGGATGTAAGAAACCATAAATAAAGTATCTTAACAGGTCTCATCACACTGCAAATTCTAAAGTGTCAGTCACAAAGCAACTGCAGAATTCACCTTCAATTTTGTCTGCAGGAGTTCTTTACTAGTGATGATGTTGGTCACCTCTGTCTCATTTAATCCATGAACAATGGCTGGGCCTCCTAGAGTAGCATATAACGTAACAACTACAAGGAAAAGAAGAGCAAATCAAGAATACACACATTTTATAAACTACCAGGTGCAAATAAAGCCTCACAGCGGATGTATATCATAACCGAGCATTCTAAACTGTGAAATCCATAGCCCATGAGACAGTGCTTTTTTTAAAATTATTCTAACATAATTTGTTGACATCATACCTATTCACCCTCACCTAATAGCCCCAGTTTCCAATATTTTTAAATGAACAGCTTTATTTTTTTAAAGATTTTTTTTTTTTATTTGAAGTCACAGTTACACAGAGAGAGAAGGAGAGGCAGAGAGAGAGGTCTTCCATCCGCTGGTTCACTCCCCAGCTTGCTGCAAAGGTCAAATCTGAGCTGATCCAAGCCAGGAGCCAGGAGCTCCCTCTGGGTATCCCATGTGGGAATAGGGGCCTAAGGACTTGAGCCATCTTCTACTGCTTTTCCAGGCTTCAGAAGAGAGCTGGATCAGAAATGGAGCCGGGACTCAAACCAGCGTCCATATGGGATGCTGGCACTGTAGCCAGCGGCTTTACCCACTATGCCACAGCACTGGCCCCCAAATGAACGGTTCTAAATTTTAGTTGGTTTCACCTACAGATGTTACTCTGGGACTATCACTCTGGAAACGAACTGTAACTGATTTTTAAAATTTCAAAACCTGCTGGCGCCGTGGCTCACTAGGCTAATCCTCTGCCTTGTGGCGCCAGCACACCGGGTTCTAGTCCCGGTTGGGGCACCGGATTCTGTCCCATTTGCCCCTCTTCCAGGCCAGCTCTCTGCTGTGGCCAGGGAGTGCAGTGGAGGATGGCCCAAGGCCTTGGGCCCTGCACCCCATGAGAGACCAGGATAAGTACCTGGCTCCTGCCATCGGATCAGCGCGGTGCGCCGGCCACAGCGCACCAGCCGTGGCGGCCATTGGAGGGTGAACCAGCGGCAAAGGAAGACCTTTCTCTCTCTCTCTCTCTCACTGTCCACTCTGCCTGTCAAAAAAAATAAAAATAAATAAATAAAAAAAATTAAAAATTTCAAAATCTAACTCTTGGGGCCAGCACTGTGGCATAGAGGGTAAAGCCACCACCTGCAGTGCCAGCATCCCATATGGGCCCCAGTTCATGTCCCGGCTGCTCCACTTCCTATCCAGCTCTCTGCTATGGCCTGGGAAAGCAGCAGAAGATGGCCCAAGTCCTTGGGCCCATGCACAGACATGGGAGACCTGGAAGGGGCTCCTGGCTTCAGATCAGCACAGTTCCATCGTTGCAACCAATTGGGGAGTGAACCAGCGGATGGAAGACCTCTCTCACTCTCTCTCTGCCTCTCCTTCTCTTTCTGTGTAACTCTTTCAAATAAATAAATAAATAAATCTCTTTTTTTTTAAATAATTGTTGACTACTTGGTATTAAAATGTAAAAAATAACATACCAATATCATGATTAATGAAATGTCAGACTTAAGGCATAACATGTCAAGAAAATAGCATGAGCAAGTGGCAGCATGGTTTATTCTAAGGCAGAAAAATCTAAAGAAAAATCTTAGAAAACGTCAAAATTACAGAATATAAATGATAATGGGGATTCTTACCTTCTGTCTAACTAAATAAAGTTGGACACAAAATGACTTGGAAAATAGGTTTCTTTTAAGAAGCTTTAGAAGAATTCTTAACATGAGCTGGGCATTTTTTCTATCAGTTGGGATGTACATGTCTCATATCAGGTGGTTGGGGTTCAATTCCTGGCTCCAGCTCCTGAATCCAACTTCCTGCTAATGCATACCCTTGAGGTAGCAATGATGATTCAAGTGACTGGGTCTCTGCCATTCACATGGACTACATTCCTGGCACCTTGCTTCAGCCCCAGAACAGCCAATAGTTGTGGGCATTTGGGGAGTGAAGCTGCACAGTATGCGTGCACTCATTCTCCTTGTGTCTAATGTGTGTGTGTGTGTGTGCGTGTGTGTGCAGTTGTCTCATTCATTAAAAAAATATAGAATAAATAGAAGAAAAAGTACAAATACATACAGCAAGAAACCTAGCTAAAGTATCTTTTCAGTCTCATCTGAAATAGGTGACAACATCTACACTTAACGTTTTGGTACCACCATCTCTTAACCAAGCATTCAGGAATATCCCACAGACTGAGCCATCTCAATTACCACTGAAGCAATTACAACATTAAAATACTCTATCATTTAACCTGGCACCTTGAAGTTTACCGTGTTCAAGTATGGAAGTGTCTTAGAGGTCAACTGTTGCCACTGGGAGATGTGGCATTAACACAAGAACAGTGACTTCAAAAGTGGATTCCTGAGAGACGATAATGGAGCAGGGACCCCTAAGTGAGTGTAGGTCTGTTTCCTTAGACCCAGAAAATCCCCTGCTAATAAGCTAATCCTCTTCACTACATTGACTGGGACAATCTGTTCCACAACTGGTTCTTTTTCAGAAACAGACCAAAAATTACAAGTCACAACTAAGAATTCTCTACTAATTGGATGCCCCATGAAAATTAACCCCACCTCTCACCCTCTCGAGAGTGAAATATTATAATATTTAAGTATCATCTCTTTTAAAATAGTAAGTCCACTCTTCCGGAAAGTAAGAAAGCCCACATACGCTGAAAATTGTACATAAAACACGCCTGTGCAGCAATCATCCACTCGGCCCTGGTCTCACAGAAGATGGCGATGTTGGTCTTTGGTTTCTGACCCAACATGTGTAAGCCACTTCCAAAATTAAGGGCTCGAACGAAGACATCTTCATAGGAGAGCCAATTATAGTGTCCAAGAATAACCTGATGAAACAAAAAAATACAAATAGCTTTTAATATATCCAAAATATTACCTTACAAAAGAAATTAAAATATTCCAAATTCTGAGCGACAAGAACGTTATACTTGCATAAATCTTTTTTTCCAATAAAAAGCTAGTAATTGAATTTCAAGTGAAGAACTATTTTTAAAATTAGTTATAATATCTTGTATGACAACTCAAATCCTATTCTAAATCTTTAACTGTACATACTATCAATCAACTTACAGATTTCATTTACCTAAGTGATTTACATGTTAATTTAAAAGGTATCAAGTACTACTGACACCAAAATTTCCTCTTCTTCTACTTAGAAATTCCTAGATTTAACATGGGATGGTACAACATGACCCACAAACAGAAACAAGTCCTAAGCTAATAGAAATATTTAAGACTTCAATTTAAATTGCTTTATCTAACTCTCAATAGCAAAGTAAGCAAGTTTCTATTTATGCAACCATCTAGGAACTAGTTGTATTATTCATCAAAGCCCCTCTGTTCAAGTATGAAATGGTCACTGGCACTCCCCAGGCTTTTAACATCTTATCTGTGTTTATCAAAAGTACTGGTAATGGGGCCAGCGCTGTGACATACTAGGCTAAGCCTCTGCTTGTCTGTAACTCTACCTCTCAAATAAATACATAAATCTTTATTAAAAAAAAAAAGTACTGGTAACATCAGGTTTACCTTATTAATAACCCCCTTTTAAAGCTGGTTAACATATTTTTGTTGTTAAGGATTTTCTTCAACTTCAGTAAGGCCATACATCCCCAACTACACACAGATTAGATAAAAATCTCTCTGCAAACATGCAGATGGTTCCCAAAGATAGTTATGTAATTAATGTATGTCTCAAGCACTTTAAAACCATTTGAGCATATCCACTTTTAAAAATGCAAACAACATTGAAGAGATTTCTAGAAAAAAGAGGTTGGATAAAGATTTCTAAAAATTTTAAAAGGATAAATGCCGCCCTCTAGTGTTTATTCAGTGATAAGATTTAAAATGGAAATTCTATTTTGATGGAGAAGCCAACTGTATTTAAGATACTTATTTATTTTTGGTCCCAAACTCTCACCTTGCTCTGCACCCCCACGAAAGGCTCAGCACTCCCAGGGAGCTCCAATGACTTCAAAAGGAGCTCTGTGGGGGTGAGAAGACAGATGAAAATTTGGCCAACATGTGAACTAGATTACAATTATTAAAAATTTTAAGCTCAAAAGAAGCTAAATGATGGGCTTTATAAATTTCAAAGACTACATGTGTTCTTGGGAGGGAAGTATATCTGTGAAATGTAAGAAATCTGCTCTCTTTATATTAATAAAAATTTTTTTAAAAAGAGTATGTGTGTTCTGAAAAGGCATTCAAAAATATAAAATATGATCCAAATATGTAAACTCATGCTGTGATGTCACCATGTGATGAGCTTAATAAAGTGTAAGGTTTCTTCAGGTACATCAAAACAAAGATCTGAATTTCGTTACTTTAATTATTTAAAATATTTAGTCATCTAGCACTTATAAAAATCACATTTAGAGAACTCTACCCATAATTTTATGTGATTTTTGCTAGAAAAAAAACTTGTAATCCTCAATTTGTCACTTTGGTTAGTTCAATCCCACACTAAACTCATTTATTTATTCCCTGACAATATAGTCAGGGAATGAATTGACTATATATATATATATATATATATATATATATATATATATATATTTTCCCTGACTATAACATTACTGCAAAATAATTCACTCCTATCATCCTAGTCCATTTCTCTCCTGAACGCACACCAACTGGCCAACTTGCTTCCACTCTTATTTTCTCATAACCCATATAAACCACATCTCTTGCTTGCATTAACACTCTGCAGGGTTTTCTCTTTCAGGAACAATGAAGTCCAAAAACCTCACCCTGGCTTGACCAGCTCTAGAAGCTGCAAGCCTCTCTGTGCCCAAACTCCTTCCCCTGACTCACTCTAAACACAACTTTGTAATTTATGTCCTTCAAACAGCTGAGCTAGGGTAAGACAGACACTAGGACACAAATCTAGGGAGGCACTCCTCCTCTCAGGACCAGAATGCCTTCTTACACTTTTCATCCTGTGAACTTCAACAGCTGGGCTCCTGTCTTACAATCACTGCATTATCCTGTCCCACAGCCTGGAAATTCCTTTACACACATCTTGAGAAAGTTGGACAGTTATTGGTCAGGCCTCAGCTTAACTAAAACCTACTCAGTGAGGCTTTCCTTGATCACTAATTTGCTTTATCTCTTCATAGTAGTTACTGTATTTTTCAACTTGTTTATTGTCTTTGTTCCTCCCATACAAGATCCATGATAAAATAACTCATGTGTCCTATTCATCACTGTCTACTTAGTGCCTAGAAGAGTTCCAGGCACTCAGCAATTATTTGCATAAATGGTATAATTCAACACAACTTCAATAGTCTTTTCATCTCATGCTCTCCTCCAGCAGCCTCCTTTTAAAAGACTGGTTTAAAAAAGTCCAGGTCCACCCAAACAGTTGACTCCCACAGCTACTTTTGTTCTGATCTCTGTTCAATCACCTACTACATCGTCTATTACCTCTGAAATGTTTTACCAGTGACTTGCATATAAAATGTTCATTTTCCTTCAATGTGGCTATTTGAAAGATTATCATGGAGTCCTTGAACAGTCTCCTCATTCATAAACTCTGGGGAAGGGTTACCATGATTCTTAAGATCATTTTCCATTCTCACAACTGACTACATTGCTTTTCTATGACAGGTGTTACACACACATGTGTAAATATCAATGTTTTCAGTCAGACTGTAACTGCCTGGGACACAGGAAATTAATAATTTACTTTGCTCAGGAACTAATGAAATTACATGCTCTTATAATAGTCTCCTACCTCAAAGGTAAGCTATAAAAAAAAGTAAAAAATAGAGAGAATACAGACTATCCCATAAAGCAGAAGCACAGATACTTAACCATTCAAGTCCCTGACAGGTCAGACCGTCAAATAAAGATCAAGTTTTCAACAGCCAGGAGTTTAACAAATTTAAACCCTAGGATTGTTTCTGCTTTCACTATTTGGAACCGAAGTACCTCAAATCATGTCTTCTTCAATAAAGGATACCTGGCTTAATCTCTCTCTCTCTGCAACCGAAGATTATTATGAACAAATTACTGTGAGGGAGCCAGAGAGAATAAAAATATTACAGAGACCAGGGTAGTTGAGAACAATCCTGATGATGGTAATGATGAAGGCAGCTAACATTTACTACTATCTACTACATGGTAAGTCATTGCAGGTATTAACGTATTAAATTCTCACAGTAACTGTAAGAGACAACTACCATAATTATCCCCTATTTTAGATAAGAATACTGAGACCCAGATAAAGTACAAGCATACTTCAAAAAGTTAATGGAATGGAATGAAAGGGTAAATTTTGGTGCAAACATTTTGAAATCCATGCATAAAAGCAGGCTTCAAAGTTTGTGGAAGATGGCAACTATGAAAAATTATACATGCACTTCAAAATTTCATCCACCACAATAAACTTTTCTGAATTCCATTTTCCCACAAACTTTTTGAAGTATCTTTAAAACTTGCTCAGAATCACACAACTAATAAGTGGTATGACCAGAATACAAACTTAGGAAAAGTCACCCAGAGTGCTAAGTACTCTAGAAAGGAGTCAGTCTCCTATAAAGCCTTAAGAGTAAGGTGGTCTGAGATACAATTGCAAAAGACCATTTTAATTGCTGTGTGGGGTGAATTCCAGTAGAAGCAAGAGTGGAAATAAGAAGACGTTTAAAAAAAAAGGGGGGGGGGGCAGGAGGAGCAAGGATTGTAAGGGAAATAAATCAGAGATTCATGGTTTTGGGGCTTGAGCAATTTTGTGTATGGTGGGGCCTTTAACAAATAGAACGGCAAGGAGAGGAACAAGTTTGGAAGAGAAAATCAAAGAGAGATAATATTAATAACCAAGCAACATATTCTGACCAAGAGATTGGTCATTACTTTTGATATTAATTATGATTCAAATGTCTTAAAAATCAGTAAATATATATCATACATATAAGCAAACAGTAAAAAAATGTGAAGTAACTTAGGAATAAGCATTAAGAAACAGAAAAAGAAAACTAAGTCAATTCACAAGGTAAAAAATGAATATTTTGTCTTTCTGGATTGATTTAAAAAGGTCACAGCAAAACTTCTCCATGCATGAAAATTATATTACATTTTTTTAATCTGTGTAAAATATACAAGAAAAAATACTGAATGTATTTCTGATAGTTAGCTCAGACGATAGTTGAACCAGCTTTGTATTCTTTTCTGTTCTTATTCGTTGCAACCGCTCCATTTCAGGTGCACATATTTTAAAGTTGCTCTGAAATCCAACTGTCTACTGTTCTTCATTTTAAGATACTAGCACAATGCATTTGCTGCTGGAAGGCAGGAAGTAAGTGATAATGACACAAATTCCAGGTGCTTTACTGAACTACGGTTTTACAAAACCACATCAGACAGCAGTACTGAATCGGCTTGCAGTTTTCTGCCTGCTCCTCAGAGTCCTGTACTAGTTAAGCTGGTGGCCACTCGATCTTGGGCATAGTTAGAGCAGAATCATCACCTGCCTTTTCTTCTACATATCTTCCCTTGGATGCTCACAACAGACTGTTAGAATAATATGGAAACAAAGCTTCAAAGTTCATTATTTTGAAATAAGATCTGCATGTCTTTGCTTCTACCTATATAATCTGGTTTGAATCTCCAAAAGTCTGTCCCACAAAATGAGAAGAAACTGCTAAGTGTTTCTACATCATTGGCTTTCTTTTCCAACTGAAAATTATCTTCAAATACGTGAACCATTCCGTGTCCCACTAGTTCCAGAAGAGTTTCCTCTGCTGTTTTTCCCCTAACTCTTCCCTGAACCTACAGTATCTCCATTTTATTAAACTGTCTTTTCCCGGACTATCAGTGTGCTCCCTCCCTATTCCGCCATCTTGGAACTGATGTCTAATGAACCATTTAATGAAGATGACCTTCATCAAAAATGTCTTCTGACCTCTCTCCATAGCTGCACCGGTTAGTTGGCTCTAAGGAGAGAAGTCACTAGCCAGGCAGCATGCCACTGCCATAGCTACAGCTCAGGACCCACCCACAAAAACCAGTGCCTGCAGCACCACACACTTTCTTCCTCAGTAAGGCTAATGGAAAATACTTGCTTCATTTACTATACGTGAACCCTAAAAATCAATTCTACTTTCCCAATGAACCTAACTTTAGACAAGAAAAATACATGTTTCTCATCTTTCTATACCTTCTGAACAAGGCTTAATGAATCCAAATGCCAATTTAATGACAAATACTAATAGCAAGCAGATCTTCTGACATACGTAAATCTAAAAACTTCCTGTAAAAATGTATTATAGAGGCCAGCACTGTGGTGTAAGGGTAAAGCCTCCACCTGCAGCACTGGCATCATACATGGGCACTGGTTCGAATCTTGGCTGCTCCTCTTCTAATCCAGCTCCCTGCTAATGCACCTGGAAAAACAGCAGCAGATGGCCCAAGTGCTTGGGCCCCTGCACCCACATGGGAGACCCAGAATAAGCTCCTGGCTATTGGCACAGCTCCGGGCACTCTAGGCATTTGGGAAATGAACCAAGGGATGGAAGATTTCTCTATCTCTCCCTCTGTAACTCATTCAAACAAATAAATAAATATTTTTTAAAAATGTACTATAAACAGAAAAAGTTGTTCACTAAAAACAGCTAGCTCATCATCTAATTTTTCTTTTTTTAAAGATTATTTATTTGAAAGGCAGAGTTAGAGAGGAGAGGCAGAAAGTGAAAGTGAGCGAGTGGAGAGGGAGGGAGAGGGAGCGGGAGAGGGAGGGAGAGGGAGGGAGAGGGAGGGAGAGGGAGGGAGAGGGAGGGAGAGAGAGGGAGAGAGAGAGAGAGGGAGAGAGAGGGAGGGAGAGAGGGGGAGAGAGGGGGAGAGAGGGAGAGAGGGAGAGAGAGGGGGAGAGAGGGAGAGAGAGGGGGAGAGAGGGGGAGAGAGAGAGAGAGAGAGAGAGAAATCTTCCATCAGCTGGTTTACTCCCCAAATGGCTGCAATGGCCAGAGTTAGGCCAGGCTGAAGCCAGGAGCCAGGACTTTAATCTGGGTCTCCTACATGGGTGTAGGGGCCCAAGTATTTCAGTCATCCTCCACTGCTCTTCCAGGAACATTACCAGGGAATTGGATTGGAAGCAGAGTACCTGGGCCAGTCAGCCATATAGGATGCCAACACTGCAGGCAGTGGCTTAACACACTGTGCCACAGCACTGGCCCCTAACTTTTCTGTATGAATCCAAATATTTCATATTTTGTTGAATTATCAATGAATACAAAGGCACTGAGGCAGGCAGGAGAGAAGCACACACAAAGCTCCTACTTTCTCAGGAACAGTGACTGAACATAACTTTAAGTTGGACTGATCTATTCCAAGCCCCTCCAATCAGAACTTACCTCTCCTGTGTTTCAAACATCAGCTCCCTCCTACCTACTCCAAAAAACTTCACTCAAATCTGACTCAAGGATGTAGATTTGAATCATTTCTCCTGCCCTTTACGAATCAGTAATAAAGCCTTTGTCCTCTCAGAAGGCTGGCAACATAGAGCAAGATGGGAGCAACGGGCAGTGAATCCACCTCTTTCTGTCTTCATCTTCAATAGAACTTGCTACAGACAGTTAAGGAGTGTGAGTTATGGAGTCAGAAGGCCTGGGTTCGAGTCCCAGTTTCAGCATTTGCTAACTGTAGTATCCTTGGGTAAGTTACCTAACCCAACTATGCCCAATGCTGCCATCTGTAAAGTAGGGATGACCGTAACACATAGAGCTAAATAAACTGACAAAATGAGGAACTCATGAAATACCTTGACTTATGATAAATACTAGTGAAACATGATGATCATCTCCATGTTTCAGATAAAGAAAATGAGGCAAGCTTGTTAAATAACTTCTGTAAGGTCACAATGTCAGTAAATGGGCAAGCTACAATTGAAATCTACAGTCTGTGTCTGGAGTCCAGGCTCTTAACCACTCTGTTACACTGCCTCTAAGACACCTTGCCCTCTATTTCAAATCAACAGTGGCCAGTTCCTCTGTGATTATAAAAAGAAATTTTTAAAACTATGCAATTGCCACAAGCCAAGCACCAGGACATTAAGCACACACTGCAATCCCCCAGGAAATCTGAAACATTAGTTTACACCCCCAAAAGCCTTTTAAACATCCAAATGCTTCTGGAAGACATGGAATATGGTTTCATCCCCAAATCCACCCGACATTCTATTCTAAACCATGGTGGACACAAGGATCAGAAGAGCCCCATACCAGTGTATATTTTCAATCTTTCTGGAAATTCAGAACAAATCAATGCAAGTAAGCACAGGCTGAGATGAGAGCACAGTCTCATCTCCTTTCTATCCTGTTTTTCCTGCAAGATCAGCACATTCCCATAGAAGTAGGCTGTGCATGTCTCGTGCCACCATTTCTAGGAGTTCATTTTATTCAAGGGACTGAAAGGCAATGAAACATCACTTTACCTTTTTAAAAATTTTTCCATTTGGTTGTACTTCATCTTCCTCATTTAAAACTTCACGTGTTCCCAAAAGTCTTTTGTCCTTAAATTTGTTTTTGGCATACATAAAAACTTTATCTAATGTATCACATCCAGGGTACAACACTGAAACCAGACCATCCAAACTATTAACAGATCTGTATGCAGACTCAGGACTTGAATTTACAGGTTTTGCTTTAATTTGGTTTGATTTTTCTTGTCTTGACTCAGACAAAAAATAAAATGGAATGTATGTTAAAATTGTATAGAGTGATATTATAAAATGTATGAAATATAAAAGGATGGGGTTGATGGTCTGTTTCAGCTTCATGGTAGACGGTTTTGAAGATATGAGGTTATTCATGTGTTCCAAAGTAGAATTACAGATTCCAGCAAGAATCTATGAGGAAGAAAAAGAAAAGCATTAGTTAAAAATTTTAAAGAAAAATTCCTCACATTAGATAGGAAAACAAGGACTTTTCTTTCAGTTGGAAAGAAGCTGGTACACTGACCCCGGCAACGTCCTGGTAATTCCAAAAGACTGGTTTCTACCTATTTATCAACAATAAATTACACAAAAATCTCCACAGCATACTGTCAACAGGTGGTCTTTCCGATCTAACTCAAGCATCCACAAACATTTCCCAGTACTAAAGAGGAACCAAGCCAGAAGAAAAAAAAAGAATAGAGAACAAAGAATTTACCCACTTCTGCTCTTTACTGTCTCATGGCACTAGAGATGCCACATCCTCCTTTCATAAGGCCATAGCAGCCTTTGCCAGATAATCAACGAGTTCTTTCCCAGGTAATCCCATTCTCGCTTTAGCCACTGGAGCTGGGAAACTCACAATTACATTTTGCATACTAGTTCTAGACATTTTTCAATTTACACAGGCTAAACTGAAGAAGAAAAAAGTTAACTTTGCCTTCATTAGGGCTTTGCATTCAAAAGGGATCTAGAGAATACAACAGTGAACAAAACAGCCTAAGTCCCTGCTTTCATGGAACCTAAACACACCCTCTGGGAGACGTAAATAAGCAAGTACATATGTAGGTATACATGCATGCCTGGAACTGATAAATGCTACAGAGAAAAACAAACCCAGGAAAAGGAAATACAGAGTTGCAGAGGACCTATCACCTGGGTAGTAGTCAGGAAAAGTCTCTGGGGAGCGCTGCTCTAAGAGACTTTCAAAGAGAGAGAGCAAAACTGAAGCAAACTACTAAACAGTACCTTGCCCAAAACTATGATTTATCACCAGAAGGGGCAAGCAGCCAGCTACTCCCACATTTGCAGAAACTCTATTCCAGGCAGGATAGCCAAGAGATTTGAGAACTCCTTCCTTCACCCAGTTGCCATTCATAGGGCACAAACTCTCCCCCAGGCAGAGCAGGCTGAGAATACTGGGCACAAATTATCCTTACATCTGTTCACTTATAAGAAAGGTAGAGGTTTCAAGCAGACAGAAAAGCTCCAAACCAAGAAGACTGGTGGCTACGGCCACGGCCTAGCTGACTTCTCACAGAACAGACTAACTCCAAGAAAATCAGGGCAGCATTGTGATCCAGAAGATGGTCCAAGTACTTGGGCTCCTACCACCCACATAGGAAACCCAGATGGAGTTCTAGGTTCCTGGCCCAACTGTAGCTGTTGCGGTTATTTGGGGAACAAACCAGCAGATGAAAAATCTCTTTCTCTGCTTTACAAATAATCTTTAAAGAGAGAGAGAGAAAAGCAAGAGAAAGAAAGGGAGGAAGGCAGGGAAGGAGAGAGAGGGAAGCCGGAAGAAAGAAAGAGAGAAAGAGAGAGAGAGAGAGAGAGAGAAAGACAGGAGGGAAGGGAAAAGGGAGAAGAAAACCAAGCCACTCTCCCTGGTCCCGGCTCCAGAGCAGCGACAGATTCTGCACAGGCTGGAGGAGCAAGCTGTAAGAACGGGAATGCCTCAGCGATTTCTAGGAATCATGCTTTATTTGGAACAGGGCACACAGAAGTTCACATCCAATGGCACTGTGAAAAATTTCAAGCCTTTTTGAGGAACAATTAAGATGAAGCTGATAGCTCTGTAACTGTGTCCCCAAAGACAATGCTGAAATCCATAATCCCAAATAGCAAAATCCCAAAAGATCAAAATCCCTAAAATCTAAAGAAAATCCCTGAAATCTAAAATCCTGAAAATCACAGTACTTAAATCCTGGAAGCCAAAATCCCCAACGCCACAATTACAATTTAAAAGCTAGGGGACAGGGATGCTATATAAGAAGGGTAAAAATTTCAAATTCTGGTGAAAGATTGGCCACAGAATATGACAAGTTTGAAAACTTCAACTTAAAAATGTGTTATCTGTCTACATTGGCATTCCTTCCAGATGATGAAATTCCAGGAGGTTTCCATGAATGAAAGCCACATTTGGATTAAGAAGCCAACAAAGTTACTGACTTGTTCAAGGATAATCATGTGCATAGTAGAATAAGACAATCACAGGACCATGCTGCTGTCGGCCACCAGCGTTGTTTCTGCCAAATATGTCATCTGTATACAAATGTGTGTATAATAGATTTCCATGTACCCAAAAATACAGCAAGGCACAAAAAATGGGACAATTCAATAGAGAATTTCAGCGTAAATGGAATCATGGACAGCGCGCCGGCCGCGGTGGCCATTGGAGGGTGAACCAACGGCAAAAAGGAAGACCTTTCTCTCTGTCTCCCTCTCTCACTGTCCACTCTGCCTGTCAAAAAAAAAAAAAAAAAAAAATGGAATCATAGAATTTCAGAAATAGTGTAACACAAAAAAGGAATGTGAGTGCATTCTGTGAGGAGTCATGTCCCTCCCCTCCAGAAAGCTGGAGAAGGCCTCAGTACACAGTGCATGATGGGACAGGTGGCCAGCTCTTAGAGACCACTCCATACAACTGCTTATCACTTATGCTATAATGTACTTTTTCATGTCAAATTTTCTGTTTTTAGGGTTTCCCCCTCACTATATTAAATTGTCAGCTACAAATCAATATGCCACATACTTTATCATAACATCATTTTCATTATATAAATTCATTATATAAATTGTAAAAAAGTTTTATAGAGTTCTGATTTACAGTTTGCTTTTTACAAATCTGTCTCCTCTACAGAAGTGCATTACCATGACATTAAGTTTATGTGTAAGCACCATTGTTCATATATGTAAAAACTTATAAACTTAATAAATTAAAAGACATCCCTGTGTTTAACTGCCATACCCATATGACTGATGCTAGGATACCTGAATGTTTATGCTTAAGAAAAATGTGAGGTTATTATTGTTGACTTTTATTGTATAAAGTAGCCTAGTAAATGTTCTAAATGTCTTTAAACTTCTTAAATAAATCTCCTTTTTAAAAAGTAAAAAATGTCTTATAAAGATCTTTTGAAATATTTTGCCCGAATTTTTGTTTAAGTATTTTAGACTTTAAGGATTTTGATCTTTCAGGATTATAAGGTTTGAGATTGACTTTTGAGATTATGGCCAAACCTCTCCATGACAGAAACAAAAGAATAAACAAGTCTAACAGAGAATCAGGGAAAGGGACACCTAAGAACCCTCCTAGACTCATGACAAGCCCCAGACACTGGTCTGAAACACAACTTCTAAAAAGGGCACCAAGTTTCACTGGTTCACACTGTAGAGCAACTTATGGCTGCCTTGAGCTCTGTCTTAACTAGTAAAAGACAACTGCTGAGTATAATACCAACACAGGAAGACACAGGCAATGTGGGGGAGAAAGCAGGGTGCAGAAAACTATTCTTAAGAAGGCCCAGATACTGGACTTAGTAGACAAGACATAAAAGCAACTATTGTAAATTTATCCAAAGAACTAAGAGGAAAAAAAGTGCTTTTAAAAAATCAAAAATCAAGGGGCCAGTGCTGTGATGCAGAAGGTTATGTCGCCGTTTACAGTGCCAGCATCCTATATGGGCACTGGTTCAAGTCCCAACTGCTGCACTTCCGATCCAGCTCCCTGCTGATGACCTGGAAAAGCAGTAGAAGATGTCCCAATTCCTTGGGCCCCTGCACCAGTCTGGGAGACCCAGAGGAAGCTCCTGGCTCCTGCATGGCCCAGCTCTAAACACTGCAGTCATCTGGGTATTGAATCAGTGGGTGAAAGATTCTGTGACCCTGCCCAGCAGGTTCACAATCACTATTTGCAATGCCAGCATCCCAAATCAGAGCGCCTGTTCAAGTCCCAGCTGCTCTGCTGCCAATCTAGCTTCCCTATTAATGTGCCTGCAAAAGCAGTGGAAGATGGCCAAACTGTCTAGGCCCCGGCCCAGCCTGCGGCCTTGCAACCATTTGGGTAGCAAACCTGAGGATGGAAGATATCTTTTCTTCTTTCTTTCTTTCTCTTGCCGCCTCTGTTCTGCCTTTCAAATAAATCTTTTTAAAAAAATCAAACTCTCAATCCTACAACATGTGGAACATCCACTAATTTGTTTATGAACACCTGATAAGAAGCCAGGCCTCCCAACTGAGCCCTAAGCTCTATTCACCATTCCAAGCTGTTTTCTTTGGAAATGAATTACAAAGTACTCTGGAGACTATTCCAGAGAACTTGGACTTTTGCCATAAAGGTGAGGAAAGTCACCAAGCACTTCTGTACAGAAAATGACACAATGACAACAAATGTTCTTGCTACTTCCAGGAAATGGGAGTTGCAAAGAATAAACATCATTATCTAATTAAGTATTCTTTCAAAAATTTAATTTTGCTTTTTTTGTTTTGTTGCAATTATGTTTTATTTCAGAGAAAGACCAAGAGTGAGAACACTCCATGCACTGATTCATTCCCCAACATGCCTGCAACCATGGGAATCAAAGCCAGTGTTATAGGACTAAAACTGGGCTGGTCAACACTAGACAGTCAACACAACAGTTGATGTAAGCAGACAGTAAGTTTACTATACAGTGGCCACTGGGAAGAAAGCCGAGTCCATGATCCCAAATACACTTTTCCTCCAGGGTCTTTTAAAGGGGAAAAGGGGAACTGGGGAAAGTAGCTAAACAAATTTCAGAGAATTCTTTGACATGAAATCAGGTGGAAACTCAGTGCTGTGACACAAACTCTTATTTGAAATCTCTTGTTTGGTCATCTCCCTGTAGCCACCACTTACGATGTTGATATCCCATACTAGAGTACCAGCTACTCTGCTTCCAGTCCAGCTTCCAATTACTGCACCTGGGAAGGCAGTGGATAATGACCCAAGCAATTGTATCTATGTAGAAGACCAGAATGGACTTCTTGCCTCCTGCTGTAGCCATTTAGTGAGGGAAGCAACAGATATAAGATCTCTGTGACTGTTTCTCTGCCTCCCAAATAAATAAATCTCTTTTTAAAATATTAGTTATCTTGATTTAAAAAGGCATATT